GCAGAGTTACTGATTGAAGGATGCACAGCAAGATTTTCCAGCCTCTGGTTCTCACTCCCCAAATGGCCACAGAAGTGGAAGCTATCCCAGCCAAGAGCCAGAGGTCTCTTTGGGGTCTCCTACGTGAGTGTAGGTGCCTAAATACCTGGGCCATTCTCCACTGCTTTCCCAGACCCTTAGCAGACAGCTGGGTTGGAAGTGGGGGTACTGAGACTCGATCTGCTATCCATATCGGACACCAGCATGACAGGTGGCAGCTTTCACCTGTTACACCACAGTGCTTAACCCACCAGAATTTTTCTTTACCTCTTAATTGCATAAGCATTTGACTCTTACCTTCCTTGACTTTTCTGGACCCTTGGTGATGGCTCATCATTGAACCTCTGCATAACCTTGGCTTTAGTAAGCTAAAATCACTAGTTCTCTTAGTTTGTTTGTTTTTGGAAGGAAGATTTACAGAGAGAGGACAGAAAAATCTGTCCATTGGTTCACTTCCCTAGTGGCCACAATGGCCAAAGCTGAGCCAAAGCAAAGCCAGGAGCCAGGATCTTCCAGGTCACCCACACAGGTGTAGGGTCCCAAGGCTTTGAGCCATCCTCCATTGCTTTCCCAGGCCACAAGCAGGGAGTCAGATTGGAAGTGGAGCAGCCAGGACATGAACTGGCTGGCACCCATATGGCATCCTAGCACATGCAAAGTGAAGATTTAGCCACTAGACTACAGTGCTGGCCCCCCTGATTTTCTATTTCTTTTCTTGCTTTTTAAAAGATTTTCCTCTGTTCAGCCCTCCAATGTGTTTTCCCCAGATTTTCAGTTTGCATGCTCTTCCTGGCCTAGCTTGGTCTTGCCATGATCTTAAGGTATATTTCCTCCCTAAATTCATAATGTGGAATTTAATACTCAAAGTGAGGCCTGGGCCAGTATGTAGCACAGCAAGTTGATCCACTGCCTGTAAGGCTGGCATCCCATACTGGAGTACAGGTTTGTACTCCTGCTCTGCTAGAAATCTAGCTCCACACTAAGCCAGCAGAGAAAGCATCAGAAAGTGCAGAAAGTGGTCCAAGTGCTGGAGACCCTTCACCTATGTGAGAGACTCAGTTATGGGCTCCAGGCTTCGGCCAGCCCCAGCTACTGCAATCATTTGGAGAATGAAACAATGATGGAAGATCTTTCTCTTTCCCTCTCTCCAATTTTGCATTTCAAACAAGGAAGTAAATCTTAAGGGAAGAAAAGTGTGTGGGGCCCTTCAGGCAAGTGACAAAGTCGTGAGGGTCACGAATGGGAGGAGATGAATAAAGCTCCTGGCAGTGGATGGGAGGGGTGTTTATGCCCTTTCCATCTGATGAGGGATCAGCGATAAGGCACCACTGGTGAAGCAAAGAGCCCTTACTAGACAACAACCTGCTGGGACCTGGACTTCAGCTGCCCACCTTCTAGCACTCGAACACACACATTTCTGTTGCTTAGGTGATCCAGCAGCAGGTTACTTTGCTATAGCAGCCAGAACAGACTAAGACAACTCTCGTGACCTTTGTAAACAGCAATCACTAACAAAGCCTTCTCTAGCTCTGACTTCTAAAAGATTTTTTAAATTTATTTTTATTGGAAAGGGGAATTCAGGGAGAGGGAAAGACAGCAAGATCTTGTATCCACTCGTTCACTCCCCAAATGTTTGTGATGTCTGGAGCTGAGGCGATTAGAAACCAGGAGCCAAGAGCTTCTTCTGGGTCTCCCACGTGGTTGCAGAGCCCCAAGGCTTTGGGCCTTCCTTCACTGCTTTCCCAGGCCACAAGCAGGGAGCTAGATGGGAAGTGGAGCAGCCAGACAGGAACTGGGGCCCACATAGGGTACCAATGCTATACGACAGAGAATTTGCCAATTTAGCCATCAAGCCAGTGCAACTCTGACAGTAATTGTACATCCACATGTTTGCTGCTTATAATCTCCCCCCAGAGTATCCAATACATCCAGAAATGATTTTATTCCCCCTTATCTTTCAACTTACTAACTCTGCAATATAAATCATCTCAATTGTTGACACAATCATCCACCTCAATACTCGAGCCAAATTTCCAACACTGGCTTACATTCCTTCCCTTGGTTTTACTGTCTTTATTAAAAAAATATATATATGTATGTATTTATTTACTTACATGAAAAACAGAGTTACACAAAGAGGAAGACAGAGAAAGAGATCTTCCATCTGCTGGTTCACTCCCCAAATTGCTGCAATGGCCAGGCAGGACTAGGCTCGAGCAGGAGCAGGGAGCTTCATCTGGGTCTCCCATGTGGGTGGCAGAGGCTCAAGCACTTGGGCCATCTTCTGTTGCTTTCCCAGGCACATTCCCAAGGAGCTGGATCAGTGGTGTAGCAGCCACCATACATTGAATTGGTGTCCATATGTAAATTGGCACTTCAAGCAGCTTAATCCACTATGCTACAATTCTGCCCCAAACATTTTACTTTATATAAAATCAATTTCCAGATTTTGCTAATATTCCCTACTAAATATTTCTATTTGCCTCTAGACTTGCTACCACTGCTATGACTTAAGCCTCATCATTTCTTGGCTGCTTCAGAAGCCTATTTCTTTGCCAAATTCTATTTCCACCTAAAATACCATCTGGACCAAATCACTGTCCTACTTAGATTTCTTTGATCCTTTTCTCTTTGCATATTAGTTGTCTAAGCTGTTGAGTAAAAGCAAAGACTTTATGTGGCTCAGACCTTGTCCACCTGAGTTCATTTCATGCTCTGGGAATACAGAACAATTTTTATTTCTTTGGCACAACATCTTCATTGGAAGTTCTTTGCCTTTCCTAGACTAATTCCTGTATCTGCGATACTCAGTACTTTTATAAATGTTTAGGAAATGTTTGACTATTCAAAGTTAAAAGCACTACTGCTCTTTTACATTGCAGCCTATTTGAAACTGGTTTGTGCTTGTTTACATGTTTTGCTATAGTAGGGATCAAAGCCTTTTTCCCAACATGGATATTTCATTGCCCTAACACCACATATTGCAACATCCATTTTTGTCCACATTGCAACAGTGTCCCTCATGTGTAAACAAAACATCCACATAAGTATCTGCTTGGGAACTCTAATCAGTTTCATTATATACTTTTTTTATGACACTATCATGATGAAATAATCTCCGCAGCTTTTAAAATAGTATCTGGCAAGATAAATCCTCCAGCTTTGTTCTTACAGACTGGACTTCCATTGACCTTTTTGATTTCCATGTGATTTTCAAAATTAGTCAACACCCACAAGAAGCCCATTGTGATTGTAATTTCGATTAAATTACATATTACTTTGGATAGAACTATCTGTATGATATTCAATCTTCCAATCCATGAGTACTTTCGCTACTGAATTCTTATGCATATTTTATAAAATGTATTCCTAGGTGCAGTAGGCTGAGTCATACTACCACAGTTAACAGGTCTTAATCCTTAGAACTTCCAAAGGCTACCTTATTTGGAAAAGGGGTCTTTGCAGATAAAAGGATCCTGAGACAGAAAATAATCCTGGATTATCTAGGTGGATCTAAATGTCTTTGGGTTATCCTTCCTGGAGACTGGTTGAAGGGCAGGCAATGAGAAACACGCCAAAGTGATGCAGCTTCAAGCCAAAAAAGTGCCAGGAGACAGCAGGAAGTGGCAAAGGGCAGGAACAACCTCTGGAGGGTGCACAACCTCACGGACTCCTTGACCATCAGACCGGGGCCTTTGGAACTGGGATGGAAAACACTGGCTGTGGTAATGTCACCAGCAGTGGCTGGCTCGCCCTGATTCCTTTCCTCTGATGGAGTAATAAATTACAGTTTAGAGAGATGAAAGTTAAGGGTAATAAAGGAAAAGTTTATTATAATAACACATTGCAAAGGAAGAAAAGGCCTTGAAAAGAGCACAGGGCCTCCTGCAAGGAGAGTAAAGGGAAGGCTGTCCCAAGGGAGAAGGGGTCAGTTGGGAAAAAAGAAAAAAACATGGCAACCTTTCTCTGTGGATTGGGACTTACATCCCTAAAACATGAAGGGGCACTGACTTGCAATGATTGCTACGTTTATAACTGGCACGTGGTGATTATTAAAAAACAAGATCTGTTTATTTATTTGAAAGACAAACAGAGACAGAAGTCTCCCATGCACTGATTCGCTCCTAGAATGGCCACGGACCAGGTTGTAGCTAAGAGACCATTTTCCATCCCGATTACCCAAGTGCTTGGACCATCTTTTGCTTCCTCTGTAGGCACATTAAGCAAAGAATTGCTTTGGAAGCAGAGCTAGAGGGACTTGAGTATATTAATCTGACATGGGATGCCTGGCTTTGAGAAGGTGGCTTAACCTGCTGTGTCAGCTGCAAATTGCATTCCTTTGAGCTCCTTGTGCTGCTGGCTGCAAACTAGACTTTTCCAGTTAGGCTTGAAGACTGGAGAAAATATACAGGTAGGCAGAGTCCACCCAGCAAGGCAGGCTGGCAGCATTTTGGAACCCATAACACCTGGTTGATGGGTGAGATTGGCAGGGGTAAGGCTAAGGGCTGGTAGGCCCAGTCACCCTAGAGGCTCCAGGTCCAAGGCCCTGGGCAGTACTGGCAGCACTGCCCGGGCTAGGATCACATGTAAGTTAAACCAATGAGCAGTCTCAGATGGGGCCTGGCACATGACAGGATCCCTGGATTCTCTTCTGGCGCAGGGGCTCACAGCCACTCCCCAGTCATTCATGCCTAATTGTCCACTTTACAGTAATGTGCCGTAGCAACCAGAGAAAATGAACAACATTAAGAGCTTGATGCTATTTGTTGTTTTTAACAATTATCTATTGTTATTGGAAAGGCAGATTTACAGAGAGAAGATGACACAGCAATCTTCCATCCACTGGTTCACTCCCTAAGTTGCCACAACAGCCAGAGCTAAGTTGATCCAAAGCTAGGGTCTAGGAGCTTCTTCGGGTCTCCCATGCAGGTGCAGGGTTCCAAGGCTTTGTATCACTCTCAGCTGCTCTCCCAGGCCACAGCAGGGAGCTGGGAGGCAAGTGGAGCAGCTGGGATATGAACCAATGCCCATATGAGTTTCTGGCACTTGTAGGTGGAGAATTAGCCTACTGAGGCACCAGGCTGGCCCCAGAGCTTAGTGTTAATGCATTTTGTATATGGCATCACTTTTCTAGAAACTCATATTCTAATTATTTAAGGCTAATATACAAAAACAAAAAACTTGATTTTTATATACTTACTATATATAACAACTTATTGAATGTACTAACAGTCTGTAGATTACTTGAACTTTATGTGACAATTACAATTACGGACATGAACCCGTGCCTATATGAGTGCTTGTGTTTGCAGGCAGAGGATTGATTAGCCAATTGTACCATCATGCCCTCCCCCACCTCCGGGATTTATTTCTTACCAATCCTTATATATTTTTTCCTGGCCTTTTTTTTTTTACAATTTCTGCAATCTGTAGTACAATATTGAATTATATCTTCTTGTATCTTTTGACTTGGTAACTAGGAGAAAGAATTCTTTGTTCCTTATTTAAAATGTGATGGAAATTTGGTGGCTAGAAGGCAAGGAAAGAAAAATAAATAAAGTGATGAAAATGCAAAAAACCCCACAAAAAAAAAAACTGTTGCTAATACAGTAAACAAAAACACCCACATTCAAAACAGCATCCTTCTAGGTAACATTTCAAAAGCTTTTTCTTAACCCCTTCTTGTGACTGCATCACCTGATGTTGCTTCTTAGTCTTTCTTGAAGCTTTCCCTTGCCTGCTTCCTCTCTCCCTCCTCAGAGAAAGGCACTCCCAAGAGTGTCTGCTTAGACCTCTCTGATGTCCTTCTTACCCATTGGAAAACCACCTAAGGCTCATTCTTCAGAGCCAGGCCAGCTTCAGGAACTTCCTTCAGAAGCAAAACAGAAGCCTTTTTTAAAGTGTTTTTTTTTTCCTTTAAGCTGTACTTTGGGGCCAGTCTTGTTGCATAGTGGATAAAGCTGCTGCCTGGGGCTCCAGCATCATATACATATGCACTGGTTCATATCCAGCAACTTCGCTTCCAATCCAGGCCCCTGGTAATGGCCTGAGAACAGCAGCAGCAGAGGCTTAGCCGCCCTAAGCGCTTAGCCGCCCACGCCCATACCCACGTGGGAGACCTGCATGGAGCTCCTGGCTTCAGCCTGGCCCAGCCCTGGCTGTTGTGGTTACTTGGGAGAGCGAATCAGAAGATGGAGGATTCTGTCTCCCTTTCTGTAACTCTGCCTTTCAAACAGACAAAATTTTAAGAGACCTATACTGCACCCCTTAAAGTCCCTCCACTCCCATCTCCACACTTTTTATAAGACCTTTAAGGTCTTATAAAAGAAAAAAGACAATATAGAAACAAGTAACAAAAGTCCCTGAATCTTTACAATGTTTTCCTTCCTGATCTGTGGAGCAGATTTCTTTTTGTAGAAATGACAATGGGCAGTTGTTGTCAAGTTGGATCATTAGAAAGTGTGTTGGTGAGACCCAGCGCTGTAACAGCTTAAAGTCCTCGCCTTGAATACACCAGGATCCCATATGGCGCCGGTTCTAATCCCAGTAGCCCCGTTTCCCTTCCAGCTCCCTGCTTGTGGCCTGGAAAATCAGCTGAGGATGCCTAAAGCCTTAGGACCCTGCACCCGCGTGGGAGACCTGGAAGAAGCTCCAGCTTCTGGATTCAGATCAGTTCAGCTCTGGCCATTGCAGTCACTTGGGAAGTGAATCATCGGATATAAGATCTTCCTCTCTGCCTCTCCTCTCTGTATATCTGACTTCCCAATAAAAATAAATAAATCTTAAAAAAAGAAAAAAGAAAGTAGGTTGGTTGGGACACTTCAGTGAAGGAAAAAAAAATTTTTAAGATTTATTTTTTATTTGAAAGGCAGAGCTACAGAGAGAATGAGAGACAGGGAAGGGGAGAAAGAGAATGAATCTTCCATCCTCATTGACTACCCAAATGGCCTCAACAGCCAGAGCTGAGCCAATGTGAAGACAGCAGCTAGGAGCCTCCGCCTGTATTTTATCTGGATACAGGGTCCCAAGAACTTAGGTCATTCTCAGCTGTTTTCCAGGCCATCATCGGGAAGTTGGATGGGAAACAGAGCAGCTCAGACACAAAATTGGCACTCACACAGGATCGTGTTGCCAAAGTTGAAAACAGCTTACTGTGCCACAGCAGTGGCCCTAGAAATAAATTTACCTTGATGAATTTCCTCAGTTCAGGATCTGATTTTTATGTCAAGGACCAGAGAAGCTGAATTATGCTAATTAGAAGCTTGTGTATGAAAAACAAATGACCACAGCCAGCATTGTGGCATAGCATGTTAAGCTGCCAGTAGCAATGCTGGCATCCAACATCCAGGTTCTCACCATGGCTATTCCACTTCCACTGCAGTTCCCTGGCAGTGTGCCTGGGAAAGCAGCAAAAGATGGCGTAGGCACTTGAGCCCCTGCCACCCCTTTAGGAGATCCACTTGAGATCCATCTCAGGCCTATCAAATAAATCTTAAAAAAAAAAAAAAAAACTTACCCAGGGGGCTGGTTAATCCCCCACCTGCAAGTGCTGGCATCTCATATGGACACCAGTTCATGTCCTGGCTGTTCCACTTCCCTTCGAATTCCCTGCCTATTATGGCCTGGGAAAGCAGTTCAGGACAGCCCAAAATCTTGGGACTCTGCATCCAAGTGGGACACTCTGAAGCAGCTCCTGATTCCTGGTTTCGGATTAACTCAGCTCTGGCCATTGTGGCCTCTGGGGAGTGAACCAGCAGATGGAAGTTCTGTCTCTTCTACTCCCTGTAAATCTGCTTCTCCAATCAGAATAAATAATAAAGGCTTACCCAACGTATTCATTTACAATGGAAAACCTAATGTGGAAGGAACTGGCTATTCATTTCCTTGCAGAAAAACTAGATTGAATTAAAATAATAAGATTATTTGTGGAGAAACAGAATGGAAGTTGTAAGAAGCCCATATTTTACAAAACCACATCAAGCTGTGACAGCTCATCTCCACCTCCAGGACCAGACAATTCTTGCACCTGGGCAGGGAGGATGCTCCATTTCCACTGTTTGCCTCTCTGGTTTCGTCCTCACGCAGGAGAGCTTCAATCACCCCTCAAGGCCAGACAAAATCCGGAATAAATAAATGCAGCCCCCAGTTCCTTGAGTCCTAAAGCAATTCAGTAAAGCATCTCGGGAGCTGATCGCCCGTGGCCTCCGGGTCAGCACCGCTGTCTGCCGGGCGGGCCACGCACTCCGAGAAGAGCCACAGGCTCCAAGGCAGCGAGAAAAGGGAAGGAAAGGAAGGTGGGAGAAGAGGAAGAAGGCGTGTGTGCCCCGGGACCCTGGGGCAGAAACGCCCAGGGTATCAGGGCCGCGTTTCCTGCTCTGGCCCTCAGAACCCCGTCGACCGCCCCTGCGGGCTGCGCGCACCCAGCTCCACGCAGCCGGGCTGCCGCAGCGCCTGACGGAGAGCCGCGCGCCGCCCAAGCCCGGGCAGGCCACCCGAGCCCTGCAGCCGCGCCCGCAGCCCCCACGTGCCCCGACTCGGCGCCCGGGTGGCCAAGGGCTCTCCCTGCTCCAGGCTGCCCGCGTTGCTTCCGCCCGGCGCGGGCAAAGAGTCCCGCAGCCCCCGGGGCCCCCTAGGCAGGCAGGCAGGCAGGCAGGCAGGCAGGCAGGCAGGCCGCCCGGGCCCCCGCCGCGGAGGCCATGGCAGACGCGCTCGGGGCAGGCGGCGAGCCGGGCTTCCCCGGCCCTCCCCCTCGGCCCGCCGCCCCCTCAGTCCCCTCAGCCGCCGCCTCCCCACCTCCCGGCGGCCGGAACCTCCCTGCGGGGCGGAGTGATCCCGGCGGCGGCGGCGTAGAGCGCGGCGCGGCCGCGGGGGGCGCCCGGGACTGCGCGGGGCGGGCGGCGGCGGCGGCGCAGGGAGGAGGGGAGAGGGGCGGGGCCCGGGCGGGTTGTTGTGAGGCGACTGCGCTACCGCCGGACCGGGGCGGTCATGGCGGCTCCATATTAACACCCTCCTCCTCCTCCTCCTTCGCCGCCGCCGTCTCCTCCTCCTCTCCCTCCCGCCCGCGCTCGCGAGCCCTCGCCCCCTTCACCCTGACGCCTACCTCTGCCCCTCAGTGACCCCCCTCCCCCGCTCCCCTCTCCCCTGCTCTGCCATGCCCGGCATGATGGAGAAAGGGCCCGAGTTACTGGGGAAGAACCGGTCGGCCAACGGCAGCGCCAAGAGCCCGGCGGGCGGCGGTGGCGGCGCCTCGGCCACTAACGGCGGGCTGCACTACTCGGAGCCCGAGAGCGGCTGCAGCAGCGACGACGAGCACGGTGGTAGCCTCGAACTCCTCCCCGCCAGCCCGCCTGCCCCCCTCCCTCCACCCCTCCCCCAGCCCCCTCCCCGCGCCGCGCTCGCGCCCTCCCTCCCCTCGGAGCCCGGGCGCTGCGGTAGCCGCGAACTCCCGGTGCAGTGCAGCAGCAACCCCCGCGACCCCCGCCCCTCGCCCGCGCCCAGCCCTCCGCGCCTCCCCCCACCCCGCTCCCCGCCCCCACCGCTGCCACCTCCTGGAGCGCCCGGAGTTAGTATCTCTCCCATCCGCCCGCCGCTCCTTCTTCTCTTCCCTCCTGCGATTTTTATTTTTTATTAAGTGTGCCTTTTTTTTTTTAAATCTCCTCCCTTCCTTTTTCCTTTTTTATATATATATTTTTGGCATTGCTTTGCAGATGTTGGGATGAGAGTCGGGGCTGAATACCAAGCTCGGATCCCTGAATTTGATCCAGGTAGATACATTTGCTTAAGCAAATTCCTGTCTCCTTCCCCCCCCTCCCCTCACCCCTCCCTGTCTGAGCTGGGTCGGGGTGTCCGTGGAGTGGGGCTGGGACGGGGGAACGGGGGCCGGGCTTGGGCATGCATCTCTGGCCGGGAAGGCTGTCAGGCTTGGCCGGGCTGTGACACAGGGCGTGTGGGCAGATGTGTGCTTTGCAAGGTTAACATGGTTTCCTTTGGAGGCCACTTGCCCGCCGGTGGCATCGCCTGTCTGCACCGCCACCTCCATCCCGAGCCCGGAGCGGGGAGAGTGGAGGGAGGCGACCTGCCGTGTAGGGTCGGGGGTCCGAGGCCAGGGCGGGGAGGATTGGCTGCGGGAGGGGGGAGGGGGCCGAGGGCTGCAGGAGAAGGCTGTGTGGGCTGTGTGCGGATGGACCTTAAGATGTCCATGGCCACAGAAGCCGCCCCACGCGCGGACCCAGGGCTCCTCTCCTTTTCCTTCTTGCCCGGGTGGGGTGGCTTCGGCAGCGGTGGCATCCCTGGCGCAATGTGGGCGCTGTGCAGAAGGGGTGGGGACCGGCGGGGCAGACGCGGGGCGGCGCGCCTCGCCCGCCCCGGGTAGTGAGGCCACAGGACAGTGGCCGCGGCTGCCAAGGAGACATTTTCTCCCGGAGCAGCCAGGTTCCAGCGGCCTCTGCCAAGCCAGCTTGCGGGTTCCCTGTCTACTTTTCTCCAAACAGGCTCCCCCGGCGGTCACGGGATCGCAGGCTGCGCAGGGATTGGGCGAGAGTTCCCGCATATGGAGGCGCCCTTGCTGGAGCCTCTCGGAGCGGCGCGCTTCCTCCTCCCTGGCCCAGACCACCCTGCTCGGTTCAGGCTGTGGACAGACGGGCTTTGAAAGGCCCCCCGCCTTTTCCTTTCAGTGGACAGTTTTTTTTTCTTTTTTTCTCCAGTGACCCCTCTTGAAGACAGTGTGTCTGCAGGATCCTTCAATTCACTGTCAGATTTTAATGGGGTGGGGGGGCGCTTGCCACTCGGCATTTGTTCGGGGTGGGGCACAGCTTGCTTATGTAATGGTTAGGGTGTAGATGACTGTTCGGGCTTCTGCTCTCCACATTAAGGCAGCTGCAGAGTTCTGCTAAAGAGTTTGTGAATGTAGCAGCTAGTCCTTGGGAGCAGAAGGAACCATGTTGCAGGGAAGCATTCCGGATTCGGGCTGCCCTGCAAGTGACATGCCTATGAATATGCGTGGATGGAAGCTAGCCCTGTGTCCCGCTGGGCCTCAGATACTTTTTACATGTTCTGTGAAACTCATTTTCTTTACTGATGTAGCTGCTAGGCGAGCGGCACTTCCACATTATCTGTCCTGCCTCAGGGTTGAGCTTGACATTCAGAAAGAACACTTTGGCTCTAAGATAGGCCAGATTCCATTCCCAAGCTCTTTTATTTTTGCACTCTGAGCTCGCTTCTGGCCTTCCCGGAGCCTCAGTTTTCCTATCTGTAGGTAGTATTTCGTGGAGTTTGAATCAGGAATGAATGAGCGTGTGGCAGTTTTTCGGGAAAGATTGAATTTCATCACTACAAATAATGATCCTGATGATAATTATCACCTGATTCTCGCTGAGTACCGTGCACGCTTTTGGGGCGTGTTGATAAAATTACTTCCACGTTAGAACTCAGAAACCAGGACTTTTTCCTGATTTTGTAGACATACCTGTCTCTTATTTATTTTTTAAGATTTTATTTATTTGAAAGAGTTACAGAGACAGAGGAAGAGAAGACCTTCATCTGGGTCTCCTGTGGTGGTGGCAGGGGCCAAGTACTGGGCCATATTCCAGTGCTTTTCCCAGGTCTCTAGCAGGGCGCTAAATAGGAAGTGGAGCGGCCGAGACAAGAGCCAATGCTCATAGGGCCTACTGGCCTTGATTCACCCTCTTGGTTACAACACTTGATCCCATTAGACAATGTATTTACTTCATAGGTAGTTACAGGCAGATTGATAGGGGCCTTAGAGTTACTTTGTCTCAAAATACTTACCCATGCCTGACCAGCTTTTAATAATCGGAGTCAAATATAAAACATATTTCAAAATTTAAAACATAGCTCATTTTAATGAAATAAGTAGTGTATTTGTAGAGGATAAAGAATGGAAATGCTATTTTTAAAATGGTCAGATTCTCTAACTAGTCAGGCTATAATTGATATTTGTTACCACAATAAGAATAAAAATATTCTTTAAATTCACTTGTTCACTCTGTGTTTAATAATCTCCCAAAGCATACCAAATGGTGGAAGGACATGACTAAAACCAGTTACTACTTAAACTTAGATAGACTTTTTATATTTTTGTAGGTCAGACTTGTTAGGTAACTTGATTATCAGCTACTAGACTTTTTTCCAAATAGTGAACCCCTGTACCGTTTAGCTTAGTACAGCTGCTCTTTTATTCCAAATGTTGTACTGTTGTTGTGTAGCTTTTATTTCACATCAGTTCTGTGTGGGTAACTGAGAATTTAAAACACATTGCCTTGTGACAGTAGTGGAAAAGAAATATTTATTAGTGATAGAAAACAATGGCTTTAGCTTTCCTTTCTTGTGCCTCATTTTGTCATCCTTGTGTCAGCACTTTGGCTGAGCTTTGTAGAGATTATCTGTCCATATTCCTGCAAGTCATTTGGATGAGAAATTTCTTAGATGCTGTTATGATCAGGAGAAAAATTAAAAGAAGATCCTTATGGAGGATATTTCTATTGAAGACATGATGGTGGTGATAATAGAAATGAAATGCATAAATTATGGAAGGCTCAACTGATTACCTTGGAAAATGTCAGGATTGGAGTTTATTGGAATTTCTGAAGTCAGGAGATCAGGGACAGTTTGCCATAATTAAGGCATCATTGCTTCTAGCAATATGTTTGTCATTTACTGACTGGCATTGTGAATGTCTCCTAGACCTTGACTGTGTGGGGTTGTGGTGAAGAGTCACCTCACAGGACTGCACGTCAGCCTGGCCTGGTGACTTAGAATGGCCTGACCGCTACAGTCCTCAGTTTCTTTGTAAAAGGGACAGAAGATGAAGTGAAAAATAATATACAATAGTGAGTTTGTAGAAAATGCACACTATGAAGATATGATTAGAAAAAAAACTGGTCTGATTTAAAGCATTTTTAGCACCAAAAGAAACTTAACCTTCCGATTCCATTTTTCCATGAACTTTTTGATGTACCTTGTATTATTTGTTAGTTTAAATAACTAAAGAATGTGATCTTTGGTATATTGAGAATGTGAACACTTTAACATAGTTACTTTGCCCTTACTAATGTAGCCAACTAAATACAGATACTACTGTGATGTTCTAGTACCTGGGAGACACAGGCCATCTCCTAAAGACCAAAAGTTTACACTCTGTCTTGTCTTTGAAATCATTTCCATACATTTCTCCCATGGAGCTTTCTCTTCCAAAATACATTTTTGTGCTTGAAAAGTATTTTTTCCCATGATCTGCTTCTCTACTTCTATACTGTTCCTCATGTGTGTGGCTGTAACTGTAAGCCTCGAGTTGCTATATTTTCTCTGGCTTGAATTAATGCATAGTTTATTAGCATTTGGTGGTTTCAGCCCTGGGTAGAGGTGAACTGCAGTGACCTCCTGGCTGGAACCCTGGAGGTTTACAAATTCGGAGTCATGTATTGGGATGATGAGAGGCAAGGCTTTCTGAAGTGAGGGAAAAGTGTTTGTGAAGAGGGCTGGTGGAAGTAGAGCGAGCATTCCGTAGTGCCCCATGCCCAAAGAGAATGCATTTCAGTCCTAAAGTGGATAAGACCAAACCATGTTATATACACAGTGTTTCTTTTTTCTGGTGTACATACTTACAATAAAGTTTGATTTATAAATTACACACAGAAATATCAACAGCAGTAGCTACAGTAGATCTTAGCCATCCCTGCATACATTTTATTTTTTCTCAAGTCAAAAAATATTTCCTTGTTGACTGATAGCTTCTCTCTGGCATGGCTGAATTGCTAACATCGCTGTGCTTGAGCTTTGGGGCCATTGGGAAGGGTTATTTGAACACAAGGCACTGCTGTTCTCCAAGGTCTGATAACAGAGTCCCCAGTGGAACAAGACTTCGTGACACTGCTCAGCAAGGTCTGAAGTTTAAAACTTTAGAATTGTTTACTTCAGGAATTTTCCAGTTAATATATAATTTTTCCTGGCCATAGTGGACTTCAGAAAGCAAAACCATGAGTAAAGTGGACCCTGTATAGCTTACAAGGATAGGAACAGTATCACCTGGAAGATTGAAGGTATCAGAACTGAATTCCCCTAGAATGCTGTCATGCCCAGGACTCTAAGAAAGTCTTCTCTATTCCTAGTTTGAATTTGCTGTTAACTATATGATTTCAGATTTAGAATATAAGTCATATAATTAAAAATACTGGGTGGCAAATTTAATATTCTCAAGTTATTTAAGTTTTTTTATGTATTCCATGTTCTCCACCAGAGTCCTGACTTTCAATAAAAAGAATATAAAATGTACCGTATTTTTATTGAAATTTTTGGAATTTTCTATTGATATAGAAATATCTGAAGGTAAGTAGAAACCCTTCCAGGGTAGAAAAAAGAATTGAAGAAAGGAATTGTCTCCAACAAGCTTAAACCACCAGCAGTTATTCTTACACTATGCTTACTATATATCTGCCAGGCATTTCACTTAGGGCAGTGTATCAAATTATATATATTTTTCTTATTTGTTAGTTTTGTACCAGCATCTTATAATGTACTTTGCCAACTGCAGATTTTTCTAAATAAATTATTTCATAGGAATTAAGCTTTTTAAATGGTTTAACAATTAAAGACTAATTATTTCCTTTTCACAACTGACACCCTACTGTGGCCTTTTAAAATCTAGTAACTTGTTGCCTAAGTTTTGCTTTGTTTCTCAGCTGTTCAGAAGTTAATATACTTCTAAGGTTCGGTTCTTTTGTTGGTGAGTCAGATTTGAGTCTCAGTATTATTTCAAAATATCAGACCATTTGAGGTAAAAATGTAAATATTGTCCATTTAGTTTATATCCTTTAAATATGTTTTGTCCATTTTTTTTATAATGGCAAGGGGAAAACTATTGTATTCATCCCAGGGAGGATGTTTATTTTTAATAGATAGGTTGTCTTTTCCTTTTATGTGAGATGAATCAGGTCAGAAAAACTAAAAGGTCATTTTAGCCATTTACTATCTTCAGGGGGTAGATAAAAGAGGTCATTTGAGTTAAGGCCCCATGAGATTTCTGTTCATCTCTTTTTAATTTGTTTTTTGATACAGGAAGATGAAGCCTTTCTAAAATAAGGAAAGAACCCAGCTTAAAGAATTGCCTTCCATATCATATAGCAGTTACATTAAAGTTCTATATAATGGTTCTGTGTTTAGTATTTAGATTTTGAGCAGCTCTTTGAGGTGGATTCTCTTATCCCTGTTTTTGGAGATGAGGAAAACTGAGACACAGACCCTTCAAGTAGAGTACCCAAGGTGAGTCAGCTCCCAGGTGACAGAACCGTGACCCTGAAATCGCCCTCGGTTTCGGACAATGTCAGTCATTTCTTCAGTTTAGATGACATACAGATCATCAGACATAGTGGAGTTCAGTTCAGAGTTGGGCAGCGAACCTTGAAATGCTTAATTAGGCATTCCCTGCTGTCAGGATTGCACCCCACACCCAGTGCTTCCCTCCGGCCCCCACAGTGGAAGAGCTCTTGTCTACACAACTCAGATGCCAGTTTCTGTCAGATCAGCTCTTAGTTACAAAGCTGAGAATTTTGGGGGAAGTGTGGTTGATGTTATTCCTGGGAGGAAATACACAAAAATTTAATATTTAATTGGGAAGACATAATTAGGGGATGCCTTTTAATTCAGATTTCTGTAACACAAGAGTGATATACAAGGAACGACATGTAACTGATAAGCATGATGTTCTAAGTATTGAGACCTAATTTGTTGCATTAGATGTTCTGTGAGTAGGATTTAAGATCTTACTGCCTCAACCCATTGTGCAAAAGAGAATAAGTTTCATGTTACAGGATAGAAATGAAAGATTTATTTCACTGAAACTAACATTCCAAAGTCTCTTCAGTGAATGTAAGTTTTGAGGTAAACAACTTCCAAATTTTTAAAAAATTCTGTTTTATGATATTAAAGATAAAATTTTGAAGTTTTATTTTGTAGCTTTGGTTTTTCAAGTCCTTTGATAGTGTCTATCTTTTTTTCCAGCTTTAGATTTTCCTTACTGCAAAATGTAAAATTATACAGTGATTTTTAGCTTCATGTTTTACTTGCTATACAGAATTGCTTTTTGGTTGAATATTTATAATAATTTTAAAGTAGACTTACTTATTTAAAGGCGGAGTTACACCGAGAGATCTAACTGAATGGCTGCAGTGGCCAGAGCTGTGCTGGTCTGAAGCCAGGAGCTTCTGGGCCTCCCATGTGGATTCAGGCGCCTACAAATCTTTGGCCATCCTTTACTGCATTCCCAGGCACATTATCAGGGAGCTGGGTCAGAAGTGGAGTAGCCAGGACTGAAATTGGTGCCCTTATGGGATGCTGATGCCACAGGTGGTGTCTGTATGCACTATGCCACAGCACTGGCCCCATTTATGATTTTTCCAAAGTAAAAACTATTGGATGACGATAAATTATTGGCTGATAGATAGCATCTCCAAATGGAAATTATGGTTATAAGTCCCCTACTCCTGGAAATGAATGTTTTTTTGACTGGTGACTGCAGTTTAATGTTGAATTTGGGCAATTCTGACTGTTGATAGATAACTACTTCATGAACATCAGCTATTTATTCATAGATAAATTATCTTGCAATGTAGTGGCAAAGCTTTGTTGGTAGTTTTGATTAACTTGAATGAAGCTGAGAATTAGGTAGAAGCCAGTAAGGGCCATTAAAGTAATGAAGAGACAGAATATGTGTCTTGGTAGCTGTGTCCAACTTTTTATTTTCATATAGTTGAAGACAGGGTCGGGAGGGTGGTACACCCTTTGATTCACTTTCAATGTCCACAGCCACCGGGTTGGGCCAGGCTGCGCCCAGCAAGCTGTGACCCTGTCTGGGTCTCCATGGGGGTGTGGGTGGCCAGCCCAAGCACTGGTGACATCGCCTGCTGTTTTTCAGGTGGATTAGCAGGGGACTGGATTGGAAGCATAGGATTCTGGACTCCTGACTGGCACGCTCCCAAAGAGTGAGGGCATGCAGGCAGGGGCTTAACTCAGTACCTGCCCTCATTCTACTCATTTTTATCATAAGATTTTTTTATTTGAAAGGCAGAGTTAGAGATCTTCCATCTGATACCGTTTACTCTTCAAATGACCAAAACAGTCTGTTCCAGGCCAGGCTGAAGCCAGGAAATGAGATTCATCTGAGTCTCTCACTTGGGTGCTAGGGTCCAAGGACTTGGTCTACCTTCTGCTGCTTTCCCAGGCACATTAGCAGAGGGCTGGACTCAAGTCATTGTGGGATAATGGCATTATAGATTGTGGCTTAACTGAGTGTGCCACAGTGCCAGCCCCTCTACTAATTCTTAGTTTACACATATTTACTAAAAGGCTTGACCTTTCATTCTTGATTATAACTGATTAGAAATAAATCAGATTACTATGCTTCTAGATTAGAAATAGACTTTCAGATTACATTAAGAAGAAATTATTTAGCATTTATGCTTTTTATTTTAGTGTGGATATTAATATAAAATGTAGTAAGTAGAATTATGCTTAAAATGAATAGCTAACAGGCTCTTTGCAAAGAATAAGACTTAAAAAAAAGAGGGATGGACATTTGGCACAGCAATTAAGATGCCATTGTTTTGGATGCCCATGTCCTTTACTTAAATACCTTAGCTTGATTTATTTTTTTAAAAGCTTACTTCTCTTGAAAGGCATACTTACAGAGAGAAAGAGAGACAGAGAGGAAACTCTTGCATCCACTGGTTCACTCTCCAAATGACTTTAACCTCCAAGCTGAGATGTTCTCAGGCCAGGAGCCAGGACCTTCTTCCAGTTCTCCCATGTTGGTGCAGGGTGCCAAGTCTTTGGGCCGTCCTCTACTGCTTTCCCAGGCCACAGGCAGAGAACTCCATCAGAAGTGGAGCAGCCTTGACACAAACCGGCGTTCATATGGGACGCTGGCTCTTGAGGTGGAAGATTAGCTAGCTGAGCCAAAGTACCAGTTCCTGGCTTGATTGCTGGGAGGCAGCAGTGATGAGTCAAGTGGTTAGGTTTCTGCCATCTACATAGGAAACCTGTGTTGGGTTTCTGGCTCCTAGCTTCTACTTCTGGCTGGCTAGACCTGTTGCCTGCATTTGAACTGACTGAGAAGGTGTAGTGTTCTCTTCCTCCCTCTCTGTTCTTCTTTTCAGATAATTAAATAAACAATTTTAAGAAAACCCAAACAATAAAAAGTCACAAAAACTTAGAAATTATAACAGTATTGGTTGGCATAGATATAGAACATAAGGGGGATTGGGCACAGGCCACTTGGGACACCTACGTTTCCTAACCAAGTGCCTAGGTTTGAGTCCTGGTCCCACTTTCTGCTGTTGTGTACTCTAAGAGAACTGAGGTGATGGATTAAGTAAGTCCCTGACACTGAAAAGGGAACCCCTGAGTTAAGTTCTTGACTCTGGTTGTAACATGGCCCAGTTCCAGCTACTAAGGGCATTCGGGCAGTGAGCCAACAGATGGGAAATCTCTATATCTCTGCCTTCAAAGTAATTAAATAAAAAGTTAGATGATGTGTTCTTTGGCTTAAAAAAAAAGAATCATGTTATTATTATTATCATTATTTGAAAAAGTTCCAGAGAGGAGACACTCACAGACCTCTTACCCATTGGTTCACTCTTCCAAATGACTGCAGGAGCCAGGAGTGTGCCAGGCAAAGCCGGTGCTTCATCTGGCTCTTTCATGTGAGTATGGGAGCCCAAGGACTTGAACCATCTTCTGTTGCTTTGCTAGGTGCATCAGCAAGGAGCTGGATAGGACATGAAACAATTGAGCCTTGAACTGGCACTAGTATAGGATGCAAGTGTCGCAGACATCAGCTTAACAACTAGAGCATGAGGTCAGCTTCCAAAATAAGTTTCTAATGATGATCTTTAGTAATACGTAGAAGGTTAAATCAGATTTATTACTTTGTCAGTGATATACTTTAGAAAGTTTAAAGGCTGTCAGTTATCTTCAAAATTACCTCATTTTTCTTTTTTGAACTTCCTTTTAAATATTGCTTACATGGTTGAGAGGGATGCACACGCATATGGGTCTCTCAGGGTGAGGAGGGCTGAGGCTTGGAGAAAGTTGAGTGGGGCAGATGTTTCAGTTTTTTTCTCCTGTGTCCACAGGGGAGGAGAAGAACATGGCTGCTCCTTGCTGTCAAGCTACATCAGCACCTGGAGATGGGGGACAGTCATTTAATGATGCCTTAGAGACCCCAGTGTGGGGAAGGGTGTTCCAAGTGATTTTTTGATAGTTCTGAGACTTGAGTGATTTTTTGATAGTTCTGAGACTTCATTGACTTTGTTGTGCATCAGAGTTGAGGAAAATCTTTCCAAAAGCTGTTAGCTGCTAAAGTCTACCTTAGTGCATCCACAGACCCAGGAACATGAGAGTAGTCCAGGAGAGTAGTCCAACCTGTTTTGCTCTCCAACCTCTGACAAGAAACAGCATTCTCTGTTGGCCTAGATGAACTGGCTGTCAAGTACCCTGTGTACATCCAGGCATGTTGTCTACTGCACAGGCATCAGCAACTGAGCAGTTCCAGTCCCAATGCATGAACTCTAAGACCAAACCATTTACATGATGATTTTTCCCTGCGGCAGGTGTTAGAGCGGTCTTGTTGAGGAGTCTACCAGGAAACTTTACTGGAGATGACCTCAAACTTGAATCTTGTGTGTTCCAGCTAGTGCAGCTAATGCTGCTAGTGCTGTGCACATGCCAGTAGATACAGCCATCTAGTTAGTTCTTTCATGTGAACTGATGGGTGCTTTGGCCTAGACCAGTGCACCACAGGCCTAGTCTTCACAAACACCAGCAGGTGTCCTAGGCTAGTTGGAGTGACCTCCAATAGCCCCGAGAGCTCCCTGCTCCCGTTGACCTGCAGCACTGGTTTTTTGCATGTATTATGGCTAAGGTCAACCCAACCTGCTCCCAGATCCAGCCCATACATATGCTAATAGGTACTGCTGCCTTGTTTAGTCTGACCCATCCCCAGACCTGGCTTTCATGCTCACCAACAGGCATTGCACACACCAGTAAGGAAGTGCCCACAGTTCTCCTACCAAGCCTGCTCCCAGCCCTGATCCTTGTGCCTGCTGGGGAGTATTGAGGTCCAGCCTGACAAGACTTGCACTCAGTGTCTGTACTTTCCAGCTGGTGCTGCAGCCTAGCCTGGCTGACTTGCACCCGTTCTGGCTTTTGTGCATGCTGGTGGGTGTGACAGACTAGCCTGCCCCCAGTTCCAGCTCTCATGCTCACCAGTAGAAGCAGTGACTCAGCAAGGGAGTCCCCAGTATTCCCCTACAATGCTAGCTCCCAGCCACAGTTCTAGCAGTTGCTGAAACTCAGCCTGAGATGACCACCACCCAGTCTTGGTAGTTGCTACAGTCTGGCTTAGCCCAGCCTGTCCCAGTCCAGCTGTTGTCCATTCCTGGCCCAGCCTGGCCTACCCCAAGACCTCATGTGAACTGTTGGTCATTGAGGTCCAACCTGGCTTGGTCTGCACTCATCCTGGCTCTCACTCTCAGTCTGTGCTGAGGATTGACAATTTTTATAAACAAAGTATTTGCTATCTTTAATGTAAATCTATTTGTCTTCTATTTTTCCCCCTGTGCTTTTCCTACTTCTCTTTACAGGAACTATACAATAACAAAAATAAAGCATATTTTGTTAATACTTTGTTTTGAATATAAACAAAATCTGTCATATTCAAAGTAACTGAATTTTTCCCTCAGGTGCCACAAAGTACACAGATAAAGACAATGGAGGAATGCTTGTATGGTCTCCATATCACAGTATCCCAGATGCCAAATGTAAGTTTTCTAAGATTCAATGTTTGCTGTTGACAGTAATTTGTTAGCCAACTCAAAGTGCAACATACTTGTTTTTTAGAGTCTTTTGGACTCTCCTAAGAAAATGATGGGGACTTTGTTGTGTTTTTTTAATGGAGGGTTGTTTTATTAGAATGTTTTTCCTTTTGAAAAATAGTGGGTTGATCTTGCCAACTTGTGTCAGGCTCATGAAGAATGGAAAACCTAGGATCTGATGGCATTGCTGCTTAAATCCTCAATCAGGGGAGGGAGTTACTATGTAGACTTCTGTACAGGCCTTTCCTCAGTATGTGGAGCTGTAAAGACATGCCTTCAAACTCCAGAGAGCCCACAGTCATTACCATTTTAAAGAGGAAAGGGGAAAGAACTGACTTCAGCAGCCACCAGGTCATCTCTGTGCTCTCCATTTCTGGACGGAGACCTTCTGGATCAATGACCATGCACTTCTTGAATCATGTGTGGCTTTAGACTTCAGTGTGATGTAGCGGACCTGATCCTTTGCGGCACATCAGATATAGGAAACGTGCAGGTAACAACACTAAGATCCCCATCCCTCCATTTGGTTTTCATTGACTTTATTAAATACCAAACAGCTGTAAAATAGCTTGTCTTTTAAAATATTCATTAAGATCTTTAAGATGTCCCATTATGGTTTCTTTAGTCCATGAAAATGTATATAGCAAGTCTAATCGTTCTTATTGATGCAGAAAGAGAACTAAAGATTAAAACTTGAAAAATGCTGTTGCACATGTGGTAGTTCTTGTAGAACCTCACCAAAAGATTCAGCTGGTAATGTAGGAATTGTGAGCTCTTAAAGCACTCTTAACAGAAAATATGAAATTGATCATTTGGCCTAGGACTCTATACTAAGAATGTGAAAGAGACTGTCAGCTTTTGTGGTTCAATTCTTACAGGCAGAAGTTTCCATTCACAAAGCAAGGACCGTTGATTGCATTTGTTATGTTGGCCTTGTTTTGTAATGGCAGTACACATCTTAGCCAAGTGGAAAGCAAAATTAAGAAAGCCAGTGATTCCTCAAAGTGTGGTATCCACTTGAAATATCCAATTGAAAGTTTAGATCAGTGGCATTTAACCCTGCCTCTGTTAACTTCACTAAGGAAGCCTTTTCAGAAAAGTCTTGTGGGGACTGGTAAGTCAAGCCACTGCTTGAGACACCAGCATCCTGTATCAGAATGTTGGTTCAAGTGCCAGCTGCTCTGTTCCCAGGCACCTCTCTACTTGAGCACCTGATAAAGAGCACTTGATGCTCTAAGTACCTGGGTCCCTATCACCCATGTGGGAGACTAAGATGGAAATAATTCTAGCCCCTGGCTTCAGCCTGCCGTTTCTTGTAACCATTTTACAAGTGAAGTAGTGGATGGAAAACCTCTGTCCTTGTCTTCTCCTCTCTCTGTGGCACTCTTTTAAAAAAGAAAAGAAAAAAGAAAGAAAGAAAGAAAAGAAAAGGAAGGAAGGAAAAGAAGGAAAGAAAGACTTTTAAAATGAAAACATTTTTAAAAATTGGAGAGTTCCATGTCAGTCTACTCTCTACCAATAAAATCTGAATCTCCAGGGATAGAACCTAGATGCATGCCGTTTGAAAAGCTCCTGCACTGATTCCAATGTACAGCCTGGGTTGAAAACCATAGGTCAGTTAGTATTCTCTTTCTATCTGTAGGACTATTTAGGTAAATTTTGTTAAATGTTATCAACATGTATTTGGACCTGTCATCTATTTAAGTGTTAAGGATTCTTAAACACACGTACAGAGAAAGCAGTAATAGTTGGATTTATTTTTTTTAGTGCCAAAAACTTAAAAGTTGTATTATTGTTATAGCATGTTCTTATATTAAACTGTCCTTACAGGAAACAGCAAATATTTGTAAAGTACTTAAAATGTGCCAGGTGATATTCTGAGCACTTCGCAAATATGAACTCATTTAATCATAGGAAGCTAACTGTTTTTATCACTAATTTGGAGTGAAGAAACCAAGGTATGAAAAGGTCAGATTACTTAATCACGGTCAAAAAACTAGCAATAAGTTGAGAGTCAAACCCAATTAGACTAGCTGTGCCAGCATCTTGACCATAACCTTAACCACTGCATCTCAGAAACAAGTTTGAAGAATTAATTATGTGTAAAAATGACTGAAGGATCAAGAAGGAATGTTTATAGGAACTTCACATAAAGCAGTCTTGCTGAATGTGGCAGGCAGATTTTCAGCAATGAGGCCTGGGAATAGCAGAATTATCATTAAATTATCCTGTTGGCTTTATCTATATATGGAGAGTACATGAAAATAAAAATATCCTTTGTATATTAAAGAGGAATAAGTGAAGAAAATCTTAGGGATATTGAAGCGTACTTGACTGTGTTATTTTTATGTGTAGCTGGAACAATTACAGATAAATCTATTTTTTATGCGTCAGCCAGAAATGGGATGGTAAGACTTTAGATCAAGTTTAAATATGACAAAGGATCCTCAACAGCTGTGTCTCTTCAGATAAATATTGTAACAAAAAATCAAAACATCTTAATATTTTCTACTACAGTTAGGTTCTAATGGCTGCCCATCAATTGACCTTTATCTGCATACAAAAATAATTATAGTCCTTTCACTAGCTTTAATAAATATGTGATAGATGATCACAGAGATAAACCATGTCAAGTAAAATTTTAGATGAGATGGTTTCTAATTCTATTCATGTAAATCCCTTCTTGATAGCATTTCATGGAATGTTGCTTTAACTCAAAAAAAAGCTTGATTATAAACTATTTTGTGATGTTAATACAAAATAGACCTCAGACATTGAAGTAAATGAGAATAGTCATGTTGTTTCATTACAGTGGATGAGTATATTGCCATTGCGAAGGAGAAACATGGCTACAATGTGGAACAGGTATGTACTGAAACTTTAAGAGGTTGGTTTCATTACTTATCACATTTAAAGAGCCCTCAGCATTGTTTTTGCTCTAAGAAACTGCGTAAGTTTGGCTGGCTTAACAGAACCAGCGAAGTCTGACTTCAGCATTGTGCTAGGGGAGATCTTCGGCGTAGTAGGTGCAGCTTGGGACCTCTCTCCACGTCAGGTTGCCTGCTTCCAGCCCCTGCCCCTCTGCTTCAGGTCAGTCTCCTCCTCGCCCCCCAGCAGCATGTGACGGCCAGTGCACCGGGTTCCTGCCATCCCTGTAGGAAGCCTAGATTGAGTTATGGGCTCCTGACTTCAGCCTAGCTCAGGCCTGACTGCACTGAGCAGGTGGGGAGTGAGCCTCTGTGTACGATCTCTCTGCCTCTGCTTTTTAGAGAATAATTAAATAAATAGATAAGGGAAAACAAGATTCAGGAGATAAAAAGGAGAAAAGTAAGCAAATAGATAAAATAACATCCAAGAGCTAAGAAAAAGATAGGATCAATAGGATTTGTTTTCAAAGAATTTTCCTTTTATCAGTATTGACCTCTTTTTTTCTCTTATTCCTATTTCCTGTTCTGCTTTGAGTTCTCAAAGTTTGAGTTTTAAGTATTACCAAAATGAAAAGCAGTTTTTTTTTTTTGGTGTATTGTGGAGTAAATACACATGGATAGGATTTTTTTTTATTCTAAAATTTATAGAAAAATTAAGAGTATCTTTTATTTGAAAGTTAAATATGAAAAAATGTTTATGACAAATTTCAGATATTTCAGAAAGGGTTTTTTTTTTGCTAAATAACTTTGAAAGAATGTATTCAAGTATAGTCTTCATGTAAAGTGAACCATCTTAATGTTCTTTATCTCTAGTCATGTGAAAATGGAGACTATGGAAAAATGAAAATGAAACAAAATTCTTAAATTTTATTTCAGTTAAATATTATGTCAACCTTTGCAGGAATTAATAAAAGATTAGATTAGAGAAATAAAAAAGATGAAAACACCTGTAAGCTAAGTTACCATGAGCTAATTTTATAGTCAGTAACATAATAAAGTATTGTTTTTTGTTAAATTGAGATGTTTATTTTTTTGGATGTAAACATAATTAACTTTTTTGTCAATTTTATTTGGCAGGGAGCTAATATTTATTTATTTTTATTGTAAAGTCAGATATATAGAGAGGAGCAGAGACAGAGAGAAGCTCTTTCATCTGCTGATTCATTCCCCAAATGGCCACGATGGCTGGAGCTGTGCCAATCTGAAGCCAGGAGCCAGGAGCTTCTTCAGGGTCTCCCATGTGGGTGCAGGGTCCCAAGGCTTTGGGCCGTCTTCAACTGCTTTCCCAAGCCACAGGCAAGGAGCTGGATGGGAAGTGGAGCAGTTAGGAAAGAAACTGTCCTCCATATGGCATCTTTGTGTGCCCAAGGCAAGGACTAGGCTACCGTGCCAGGGTACTCTGCTACTCTGCCTATTTTTGCTTTAAATTTTGTCCTTTCTATTTAAAATTGATAGAATTAATTCTTTAAAGATGTGATTGCACATATGTTCATTTATAACAAATGTAAAATATATATATATGTATATATAAATTTGAAAGGTAGAGTAGGAGAGAGAATGGTGAGAGATCTTCCATCTACTTGTTCACCCTCCAAACAGTTGCAGTAACCAGGACTGGGCTAGCCCTAAGCCAGGATCCTGGAGCTCCATCCTGGTTTCCCACATGGGAGGCAGGGTCCCAGTTTTCTGCCTTCCCAGACATTTTAGTGCAAAGCTAGATCAGAAGCACAGTAGCCCAAACTCTAACCAGCACTTCTATATTGGATGCTAGCATTGTAAGTGGTGGCTTAACTTGTTATGCCACAATACTGACACCTTCATTTTTATTTTTAAATTTTTTTCCATTTTTTTATAATATTTTTTACCATCTTTACATAGTTAATTAGGGTAAAAAGATTCAAGGGCTATAGGAAAATGGGTAAGACTATTATTTCCATATTGTTTCCTTCATATATCTGAGGTAAAGGGGGATTTTAAGGGAGAAGCCCCACCCAGTCTCCTACCCACCCCAGGTCCCAGATGTGGGGCATGCTCCAAGGGTCTTGCTCAAGTGGTTTTGGTAGTTCAACAGTTCTGAATTGCTGCCAGTCTCGCCACAAACTCATTGAAGAATCCACCGATTGACATAGTCCATCACAGAGTCTCCATTTGCCCAGTATTTTCATTGCCAACATATAGCTGAGGTGGTTGACTGACTTATTCCGTCCTCTGTCCTTTCATTGTTAGGGTTCTGAGTCTGGCAGTTCAATTGGGGAAATCCCCAAAGAAACTTTGTCTGAGATGTTCCCAGACGAGATTCTTGTACGTACTAGCAAGTACAGGGCCCGGCACAATCCATCGCTCGGATCAGCTGGTAGTTGCAATTGCTGGATTGGACCCATCTCCAGCCCTGTCCTCCACTGGAACCAATGGGTGTTGCAGCTCAGCCTAGTTCTGCCTAGCACACACTCAGCCCTCACATAAACCAGTGGGAGCTGCAGCCTAGTCAGGGTGACCCACAATAACCCCCCACCAGGCTTGCCCCCATACCCTGGTTTGCCAGTATGTGTAGCAGACTAGGCCAGTCTGTCCCACATCCCATTCAGCTCTCGTACATGTCAGTGGGTTATTAAAGCCTAGTTCCATTTAACCAGCTCAACTATCCAGTCCTCATGGAGGTTGTTGGGTGTCTCTCTGTCTAGCCACCCAGCCCCGTCCTAGTTTTTGTTCCCTCCTGTTGGAGTGGTAACCCAAGAGGGAAGAGCCCACTATTTCCCTCCCAGGTCTCTCTCACTCCCGGATTATGCACTCTCCAGGTGGTTCTGTGGTTTGACTTGACAAAATTAGCCCCCAGTGCCAGCTTCTGCCAGCTGATGCTGTGGCTAAATCTAGACAACCCTCACCCACTCTAATTGTAATTTGAACTAGTAGGAACAATCAACCCAGCCTGGTTTTTCCCTGATCTAGTCCACATGAGGCCCACAGGTGACACCTTCATTTTTATTTTAAAGGACTAGCATCAAAGTTTATAAAATAGCATTAAAGCTCACTGTTAATGTCTCTCTAAAAGCAAGTTTATCCTCTAAATGATACTCAGTACCTGCAATTGCGTTGGTTACTATAGAGGGGCAAGTTATAAAATTTTGGAGACTCCATTTCTTAAGACTTGATTCATAATCAAGTCTTTGAAGTTGTATATATTTATTGTGATAACTGTGTATGTTGTGACAATAAGGAACTCTTAAAAATATATGTTGGAATGCAGCTGGCATGCTGACATTGCAAGCTAATCCTCTGCCTGTGGCCCTGGCATCCCGTAACAGCACCGGTTTGTGTCCTGGCTGCTGCACTAACAGTTTAGCCTGCTGCTAATGACCTGGGAAAGCAGCAAGGGCTGGCCTACGTCCTTGGGCCCCTGTACCCTCATGGGAGACCCAGAAGAAGACCCTGGCTCCCCACTCAAGCCATCCTCGCTCTAGGGAGTGAGCCAATGGACGGAGGATCTGTCTCGCTTTGTCTGTGTATTTGTCTTTCAAATACAAAATAAGTTGCAGTGAAGGTATTATTACTTCTTGAGAGTGCTTAGCTTGTAATATACTTACAACATAGATTAAACTGTAAATGTGTCTATTCAGGAGTGACTGAACATTTTTGCTGCTTCTTATGACTGGTAGTGTTCTACAAATATTGATATACTGAATTGTTGTTGTTGGAAATTCAGACATACAGAGAGGAGGAGAGACAGAGAGGAAGATCTTCCATCCATTGATTCACTCCCCAAGTTGTCCCATCAGCTGGAGCTGTGCCAATCTGTAGCCAGGAGCCCAGATCCTCTTCCAGGTCTCCCATAGGTGCAGGGTTCCAAGGCTTTGTGCCATCCTCAACTACTTTCCCAGGCCACAGGCAGGGAGCTAGATGAGAAGTGGGGCCACTGGGATTAGAACCAAGCGCCGTATGAGATACCAGCCCATGCAATGCGAGGAGTTTAGCCGCTAGGCTACTGCACCAGGCCCTTGGATATTTTCTTGGTAGCCTGTTTCCCTGTACCCATTGACAAACTTCACCATAAGACATGGTTAGAAGTCTTGATAGTAACCTAGAAGCATGCTTTAGAAATTAGTCACTGTACTCAGCTGAATGGTTTTCCTTTCTGCAACAAATACAGCATGTATGAACATGTGCTGAGGCCCTGGTTTAAGCCAGTAGTTAAATGAGGTATGCTGCATGAGCAGTCCTCTTTAAACTGTGTTTATCTGGGTTAGCGTCATAGATTTAAGATTATAATCTAATTTGTGTTTAACTTTCTTAAGTGTGATGGATCATAAGTCCATTAAAACCAAAGAGGGCTATTTCTCTTCCAAGGCACTTGGCATGTTGTTCTGGCATAAACATAACATTGAGAAGTCCCTCGCTGATCTCCCTAATTTCACTCCCTTCCCGGATGAGTGGACAGTGGAAGATAAAGTCCTGTTTGAACAAGCGTTTAGTTTCCACGGGAAGAGCTTTCACAGGATCCAGCAAATGGTATGGTCATTTTGGTCTGTAATTCATACATGAAAGACATGTTAAGTTGTTATCAAATATACCCTATCAATTAAATATAAAAGTATTTCAATTTGGTTTTAATCTTAGAAATATTTTGAAATTGGTATATTTGTATGTAGTCACCACTGCATGAGAGTTATGTGCTGTTTTATTGTAATAACAAGCTAGTTTGTAATTGAGTTATTAGTACTTAGGGAAAAAGCATACTTGCAACTTTACTTTTAAATGTTTTATTTTTTTGAAATTAAAATCTTATTTCCTATCTCATACTTTTTTGGATATGAAAACTACTTTTTAACATTTCTGAATTGTTTCAGTATTGGCAGATATGCTGTTTTTTGTTTTCAAAAAAAAACTGCTATGTCTAGTTTTTAGTCTTTTAGTATTATGTCAGAATGATAGAAATCTAGAAAGTTTCTTCATGTAAACCACTTTAAATATATGGAAGAAATTAGGTGATATTTGCAAATACATCTATATGACTTCAATAATTGAAAGGAATATTTTTGATGAGCAATTTGCATCCTTGTTTAGTGGCATGATGGATCAGTGCATGATCATGGGTTGTTTTAATACTTAAAAGTGGATAGCATTTGTTTGCATTATTTGCCATCTTAAAACTTAGTTTTTAAAACTAACAAAAAAAATTCAGTGTTTAAGTGTGATTGGCTCCTCCTAAAATCATGCTGCAAAATGAAAAATGCCAAAACATGTGGCTCCTTTTGTTTGAAGTGTCCAGAATGGATACATAGAGACAGGTAGGTTAATGGCTGCCAGGGACCAGGGGAAAGGAGAAATGGAGAGTGCCTGCTGGAAGGGGTAGGGTTTCTTTCTGAGGTTGAACATGTTCCGGAATTAGAGAGGAGTGGCAGCTGTACCAGCTCATTAGCTTAGTGAATGTATTGAAAATCAATATCTTGTATATTTAACAGCTGAATTTTTTAATGATTTGCATTGTATCTCAAAAGCATCCAATTTACAGAGCAAAATAAAATAAAAGAACTGAGTGGCTCTTTAAAGAAAACACATTGAATGAGGACATTCTCGTAGTTAGCAATAGCCCCTCCTCACCACAGAACAAATAGGAATACTCATTCAGAATGACGTTAGCATGGTAGGCTACTGTAACTGCCAGCACTTTTCAACCCTGTAATTTATAAAGGTATGTATGAGATTTTGTTCATTCCTTTATCACAGATTAATGACAAAATATGTGGAGTTAATTGGAGTTTACAGTTGCTAATATTAACATGATTTTTTTAAAGCTTCCAGATAAGACCATTGCAAGTCTTGTAAAGTATTACTATTCCTGGAAAAAAACTCGCTCCCGGACAAGTCTGATGGATCGCCAGGCTCGTAAACTAGCCAATAGACACAACCAGGGAGACAGGTAGGTTGGATGCCTCTGTAATAGTTACACTTGCAGGGATGTTGTGTTGAACAGCTTACATTTCCTAAGGCACAGTGATTTGTGATATATCATAACACATTGTAAATTCCTTCCATTCATGTTTCTGCTCTGACAGGGAGAACCAAGTGGCCAGAAGTAAGACTCCTCTTCAACCCTTTTAACTAATCATAAATGGATTCTTTTCATATCCCACACAAATATTATATTCTATGGAATACGATTTTTCTTTAATTACCTGATTAACTGAAGTCCTCATTACTGTGGTTGTATCTTTCTGGTTATATGTCATTTAGTTTTATGATTTTGTCTGTTTTTATCATCCAATTATTATTGAAAATAGAAGTTTTTTCTTTTTCCTAAATGATGTTTCTTTCTAAAACCCTTTTCCCACTGAATATCTAACAAGCTTTTATGTGCCTAGAAGGGTAAATATTTCTATATACTGTAGAAATCCAAATTGCAAAACTCCTCTTCCCAACAACTGTGATTCTGTTGAAGACTGTTCAGTAAAATTATTAGAAGATAGGTTACAGTTTGTGAGAGCAGTTGCGTGAATTGAAAAGAAGGGAATTAACATTACTGATCTTTGTCTTTTTGCAGTGATGATGATGTAGAGGAAGCACACCCAATGGATGGGAATGACAGCGATTATGATCCCAAGAAAGAAGCCAAAAAGGAGGTAAGGATAAGAAGTACTTGTAATGTTTTGACAAAACGGAGAATTAACAAATGATGCTTGATTTTAAAAAAGTTTTTTTTTAATCTCTGGTGTTTTGGTTTGGTTTTGTTTCTTCACTGTTTAACAGGCAGTTATAGAGAGAAGTAGAAATGATGAGTGGGTTGTGGGGGAGAGGGAGAGAGAGCGTACGAGATCTTCCTGTTAATTATCTCCAGATCGCTGCAGTGGTCAGGGCTGGGCCAGGCCAAAACCTGGAGTCCGAAATGCCATCTGGTCCTCCCTTCCTGGGTGATAAGTATCCAATGACTTGGACTGTCTTTCACTGATTTCCCAGGGACTTGAGCAGAGAGCTGATTGGAAAATGGAGAAGCTTGGAACTGGTGCTCCTATGGGAAGTGAGCATCACAGATGACACCCAGTGTGCCACAGTGCCAACCCTGAAAAACTTCTTTATATAATGATTTAGGATGCAGTAAATACCAGTGCTAATTAGATGTTTTTGAAAATGTAATACCTGGATCCTCTGTTTGCAGTGGTTAAGTAAGTTTCTACTTAACTATTCTACTCAGAAGTTTTAAGTCCTGCTGTGACCCCTGATAGTTAATCCATTGAAATGAAGTAAAGCCATCCCTTAATGATACAGTGTTAGGTGTGAAATGAAGCTTTCTGGTTTTGTTACCCAGTTTTTCATGAAAATGTTTTATTTCTTATATGTTGTACCACATTTCGAAAGTAATAACAGGTGTCTGCACAGCAGTGAAAATTGAACACTGCTGCAAAGAACAAGATGGAAGAATCTCAAAGAGAAAGGCATTCATATTCCTCAATGTGATGAAAATAATGACTTAAAGTCATTAGAACTTTAAATTGCTATATATGCTTTATTTAATAAGGCAAGGAATGAGCGTAATTGTAACAAGCAGAATGGTAATGGCTAGAGGCCTCTGAAGTATAGGTAGCTGGGGGATAGTGAAAATAACATCGAAATGGGAGGCAACAGATGTGAGTTTATCTAAAGTATGAATTTACTGTGTGTGTGACCTCATTCAGCTTCATGGTACTTTCCTCTTAGGAAGCTCAGTGTCATGGCCTGTTCTGGTCTGTGTCACCACCTTAAACTCTTCCATAAATCATGTTTTAAAGATCTAACTCTGCATCAACTTTATATTCAATGTATTTCTACTGCTAAAGTTCCTGAAAGTCCTTGAATCTTCCTCCCTGCCTCCCACCCCCAACTTGTCTTACCTTAGCTTCTGGAAGCCATGGACCCAGTGACAAATGACTTGAGTTGATTTTTTACCCATTCCCCTTCTACTAAAACTTTCAGAGCTCTATAAATCCATAATGTTGGCCAGTCATTGTTCTTGGTCGGAGAGGCACAGCAGGGAAAAGATGGTATCATTATGGAAGTCATGGCTGCTGTCGTTTCCAATCTCAGCTAGTCCTTGGTGTTTTTCAGTTTTTAACCTCTAAGTCTCGGTGTTTTCATCAATAAAATAAAAAGTCTAGGATTTTTTTTTTTTTTTGGAGAATCAAAGAGGAAATTTATGTAAAAGTACTTACTACTGTACCAGTTAAGTCTTAAATGTACTTGCTGTTTTGTTTTCTGGGAGACTGTTTTGAATATTATTTCTTTTCTACACATCACCTGACAGTACCTCACCTAGAATTCTTGGCAGATGAACTCATCTGCTTCACAGAAAAAATATCAGGCAGCAGCTCCCTGAAATTCCAGCTTCTCCACCCACCTCCCTGCCCTTTTCTTCTTAGTGTGTGTGCTCTAGAACATTGTATCACAGTTGCTGCATTTTTTGCTCACTAAGCTGTGAGCTCTTTGAAGTCAGGGACTGAATGATGTATTCTGTGTCTTCCAGCACTTTGCACGGTAGCTAGTATATGGCAGATACTCAGTACGTGTTTGTTGAATGAACAGTCTCACGCCTCTATCCCATTGCAAGCAAAGTTCATGCTCTGGTTCTGTGCGTGGCACTGCTTGTTTGATCCTGTCCATTCCTTCACATCTGTTTTGAAACTTTATCCATCATTATCCCTTCTCCTATATTTTCAGTCTGTCCACTACAATCCCAAAATGAGTAAGCCTTTTGATTTGAAAGCAAAATCATGTCTTAGTTAGCCTAGAAAAAAAGAACACTGTATTACTTAGCGTGAATCATTCTTGAGTCTGAGTCAGTTGGCTTCTGTCCTCCAACTTCAGTGAAGCTGCCGGGAGAGGTTACCAGTCCCCTCACCGCCACATCCAGAGGTCACTTTTTGACGGGTCTCTACTCTCAAGCCATTGTCATTCTCCATTCTTGGTGAAAATCTGCCTTTGATTTCTGTTTTTAGCCATTGTGTACCAGTTTTCTCTATTAGTATATTCCTTTTTATTACTGTTTTTAATTCTGTCAAATAAGTTTTTTTTAATGTCTCCTTTTGACTGCCTTACTTTTAGGTTCTCGCCTCTGAATTGCCACAGTGTTTTCTGTCCTCTCTCCATGCCTCCAGACTTCTTAATGCTCCCTTTCTCTGGGCGTTGATTACCTTGCTACTAAAACAATCTTTTAGAAGATTATTTTCTTGAAAGATAACAGACAGGGGGCCCGGCGGCATGGTCTAGTGGCTAAAGTCCTCACCTTGAACGCCCCGGGATCCCATATGGGCACCGGTTCTAATCCCGGAAGCTCCACTTCCCATCCAGCTCCCTGCTTGTGGCCTGGGAAAGTAGTCGAGGACGGCCCAAAGCCTTGGGACCCTGCATCCGCGTGGGAGACTCTGAAGAAGTTCCTGGCTCCTGCCTTCGGATCGGCATAGCATTGGCCTTTGCGCTCACTTGGGGAGTGAATCATTGGACGGAAGACCTTCCTCTCTGTATATCTGACTTTCCAATAATAAATAAATAAATCTTAAAAAAAAAAAAAAACCGATAACAGAGACGGAGATCTTCCATATGCTTGTTCACTTATCAAACATCCTTGAGAGCCAGAGCTGGGCCAGGCCAGAGCCAGGAGCTCCATTCTGGTTACCCACCTGGAGGAATCCATGTAATTTGGCCAAGTAAGTGGCACCCAAGTAATTGGGCCATCAGATGCTTCCTTGATTGGAAAGGTGGATTGGAAGCAAAGGAAAGGTGGATTGGAAGCAAAGGAAGGGATTCATCTCAATTGCTCTGATATGGGATGTTGTCATCCCAAGCCATGTCTTAACCTGCTGCACCACAACACACACTCTTGAAACAATCCTCTTAGGGAGAAAAAAAAAAACCCTGCTTGCAGACTTCTCTAGCCGGGTGCTCTGGGTGCTCCATGCTCCAGCCTGTTTTTCTGTTTTGTTTTTGTAGTAAGAACAGTTTTAGATGTTTTTTTTACTAGTTCCCTGCCTTACCCTTTGGTTTGGTTGGTTCCTTTTGCTGGAATTCTTTCTTCCCAGCTCTATCTAGGAAATTCTTCACAGTGCTGTTTATTTTGTTTGAGTTACAGAGAGGGTGGGAGAGTCTGTTGGTTCACTCTCTAGATGGCTTCTATGGCAGGAATTGGGCCAGCCCAAAACGAAGGGTTTCACCCAGTCTTGCACACGGGTGGTAGGATCCCGAACACTTGGGCTATCTTCTGCTTTTCCCAAGCATTGGCAGGGAGCTGGATGGAAGGAATGGCTAGAATTTGAACGAGTGCCGATATGGGATTCTGGGATTGCAGGCAGTAGCAGTTAACTGGCTGCTCCATTTGTTTATGGGGTATTATGGTATCCCTTTTAAGTACTTGTTTGTATTTTTTTAACCTACTTTTCATTGCATGTTTATCTTTTTTCTTAAAGTGTGTAAAATTTTGTTTAAGATTTCTATTATTATTATTATTAAAGACTTACTTGTTTTACTTCAAAGTCAGAAATACAGAGAGAGGGGGAAAATCTTTTATCTGCTGGCTTACTTCCCAAATAAGCACAAAGGCCAGAACTGGGCCTGTCTGAAGCCGAGAGCCTAGGGCTTCTTCCCAGTCTCCCACCTGAGTGCTGGGGAGCCCAAGGACTTGGGTCTTCTTCAGTTGCTTCCACGGGCTATTAGCAGGGATTTGGTTCCGAAGCTGAATGCCAGGACTCAAATCTGCACCCATATGGGATACTGGTACTGCAGTTGGAGGATTAGCCTGAAAAGCCACTGTGCTGGCCTTTATATTTAAGTTCTTTTTAAAATTATTATTGTAGGGATTTATCCCTCTCCTTTCTCTCTCTTCATTTTCTCCTTCTGCTGTTTGTCTCCCTGTTTTCACAGTAGTATAGGACCTTAGTGCAAATTACTTATCACAATGTAAAGAAAACTTTATCTTAACTTTCTGATCTTTAAATGTGTTATGACATAATAAGTATAAGAAAAAGTAGAAAACCTACTAGCATATTGTAAAGGTATATTTATAAGTCCCATTGGGAGTACTACTTTCATTTGGGAGTAGAGATGCATACTGTATAGTATCTTTACTTCCTGATGTGCTAATTTCCCGTAAACAGTTAATATATGTGTATATGTATAAATATGTATAATGCTTTGTGTATTAGCTATCTTAAAACATGATATTTGTTCTTTTAAGATTTCATTCTTTTTTATGGCTGAGTCGTATTCCATAGAGTAAATGTGATGGAGTTTCTTTATCCATTCCTTTGTTGATGGGCGTCTGGGCTGTTCTTATGTCATGGCTATTGTAAATTGTGCTGCTGTAAACACAGGCTTGCAGATTGCTCTCTTGAATGCAGATTTAGTTTTATTCGGTTATATCCCCAAAAGGTGGATGGCTAGATCATATGACAGATCAGTTGTCGGCTGTCTAAGCACTCTCCACACTGAATTCCATAGTGGTTGTACTATTTTACATTTCCACCAACCCTGGATTAGGGTGCCTTTTCCCCCACAGCCTCACCAACTGTTGTTCCCGAAGATTTGTGTTTAAGGTCTTAATCTAGCAGTAAATTTTGTTCATATTATAAGGTGGAATCCATTGTTTATTATTCTTGTGGAACTGGTTGCCTCTTTGTTACCTGGTCCCTGAGTGTCTACTTTATCATACTTGAGGCTTCCATGAATGTGGAGCTCTCAGCTCTGCTCCTTTTGGTGGTTAGATATCCTTCATCCATCCTGTATTATCTGAGTCACTCTAATTTTATAGTGTGATGTGAGAGCTGCAAGGACACATTCCACAGTTTGGTGGTTTTTCAGCTTGTCTGGATCCTAGGATGGCCCTGTTCCACACTCCTAGCAGTCTGTGTGTAACCTGGGGCAAGGTGAAACCTTCAAAGAGAGTGATTTTTATGTTTCAGCATTAGGTTGGATGTTACCGAGTTCCTGGTTCAGTTGCAGTGCCGGTGGCTGATGCTAACTAGCATCAGTGAGTCATTCCACACGGCCAGCCTCATGGGCTCTGAGGAATTTACCTGCTTACCTTGCCAGCTCATTTCCTCCCAAGGAATCAGTCATCCAGGGAATCAGGATCCAAATGGAGCCACCCAGCTGCTTCTGGCCCAATGTTGTGAATTACTCAGTGTCACTTCTTCTATATGTTGTTGGTTTCATCACTGAAATTGCTCCAAAATCAAGATAAGGGGAAGTGGACCCTTACTTTTCATGACAAAAATAATAGGAAATTGGCTGCCGTGTTTTAACTTCCAAGCCTGGAATATGAAATTTTGTAAATGCTCTAACACACATGCTTGAGAAGGATAAAATGCTGTTGGTCACATGGTTTTATATGTGTTAAGTTAAACCTGTCAGTCTTGTGTTTGAAATATGTATTTTTACAACTCGCTTGCTTGTTTAGCTTGGTTTTTATTGCATTTAAATCAGATCAGTTATTTAGACCAATTAATTATTGAGGAGTAACACTTTTAGGCATACGAGACTGGAATTCGTACATCTTGCCACCAAATTGAGTGACCTTCTCATCTCTTGTAATGACTTTTGCCTTAAAGATTCTTTTGTCTTATATGCTGTAGTTCTACCATCTTTCTTCTGTTAAGTATTTATATTTTTATGATTTTTATGATTTTGCTCACATTTTAAATATGTGTCATATAAGGATATAGCTGGGATTTACCTTGAAGAGTTTTAACCTTTTTATATGGGCCATTATCACTGATCTGTTTGGTTTTTTGGTTTTTGTTATTTCTACCTTTTATTTGATGTGGTTTTTGTAATTTTCCTCTCCTTCAGTGGCTGACTGGTTAGAATTAAGAATATATCTTCTATACAGTTTCTTCCCTCTCTACTTGTTTGAGTTCTTTATGTATTTTTGGTTTTGATATATACCTTGGAGGTTTTATATATTTTATAATCAATCATATTCTGCATTTATTTATATTTACTCACATATTAACTTAACTTTGCTCACCCGTCTTTCTTGACTCTTAGACCTTTCTTTGAAAATAATTCCTCTTCTTCCTGTAATATATCCTGTAGAACCAGAACTGGCAAACTTTTATTCTGCCAACGACCATTTGAGTATTTATATTAGCAATTTGCAGGCCATACAAAGTCATCAGCTTACACACTAGCCTGTTGTAGATTTGTTGACTTTTGAGCCCACTTGTGCATTCCCTGACAGGGTTAAACCAGATGATGCCACCAGCCTCCTGCGGTGTGGAGACTGGATGTCCTTAACCCCTGCTGGAAGTTCATTTCAACAGCTGTCATTCACTTTTCTGAGGCCTGGGTGTTAAGTGTGTTTTTGTAGAGAGCAGTTTGCATTTGTATCTGCTAAGTCTGTAACTACTGTTAACTTCAAACATTTTGAATTTTGCGGTTGGGGATTTTTACATTAGACAGATCATATAAAGATTTTGGGTTCAAACCTGTTGGTGTAGGTCTATAGTTAGAGATTCTCAGGAAAGACTTTTTTGTGGGGGGAGGAGAGTCTTTCCTTTCCGCCAACCAAGGGTAAAACATGTGTGACTCAGTTTAGTAGTTCTCTCCCTCTGCAGAGCAGGGGTATTTTTTCTGCTTCATACAGTGATGGAGTTCGCTAGCTTGACCCTGGCTTTGTCCCCTGCGCCCTGTACCTGTTGTCCATTCAAACCTTGGCTTTAGGTAGATGCCAACTGCTGCATAATTATCCCCAAATTATGCTTTCTCATTGTTTCTGGCCTCTGAGGAATCTCCCTATCAATTTAGTAATGATTTTTTTAAAGATTTGTTTATTTATTGGAAAGTTAGATATACAGGGAGGAGAAAAGACAGAGAAGAAGATCTTCCATCTGATGATTCACTCCCCAAGTGAGCGCAATGGCTGGCACTGTGCCAATCTGAAGCCAGGATCCAGGAACCTCCTCCAGGTATCCCACAGGGGTGCAGGTCCCAAAGCATTGGGCCATCCTTGACTGCTTTCCTAGGCCACAAGCAGAGAGCTGAGAGCTGGATGGGAAGAGAAGCTGCCGGGATTAGAACCGGCGCCCATATGGGATCCCAGTGTGTTCAAGGCGAGGTCTTTAGCTGCTGGGCCACCGCACCGCCGGGTCATAGTAATGAATTTTTAAAGGATTCTTTAAAAAATATTTGATCCAGCAATTTTAGAAGTGATAATACTGGCTGAAATTTCTGTGAACCTCAAACCTATTGTTGGTTGCTTGAAACTGTGTTTTAAGCAGAGTAAATTATGCTTCATTATACAGTTGTTTTCAGGAGTTTTATTCAGAGTCCCATTTTCAAAGAATCAGATGGCTAACTATATTCAACCTAGTAGACATAATTTCTAATGGATGCCTATCTCAGAGGGATAAAAACATTGCATTTTAAATCATATTTTAGGAATAGTGTGAATTTTATACATATATAACATATTCATATGTATATGTAATATATGCTTTTATTTGAAAGGTAGAATTACAGAGAGAAGGAGAGACAGAAAGAGATCCTCTGTCCACTGGTATACTCCCCATATGATCACAGCTGGAGCTGAGCCTATCCAAAGCTAGGACCATGTGGGAGACCCACATGGGTGCAGGGACCCAAGGACTTAAGCCATCCTTTGCTGTTGTATATTGCACATTTTAATGATACACTATTTAAGATTTCCTGGTCACTTTTTTGGAATTTGCCTGGGGTAGACTTTATGGTATAGTGGGTTAAGTTGCTGCTTTCCTGTTTCCCATATGGAAATGTCTGGGTTTGAGGCTCACCTCCACTTCTGATCCAATTTTGTGCTAGTATACACCCTGTGAGGCAACAGATGATGGCTGAAGAACTTGAGTCTCTGCCACCTTGAGCCTCTGCCACCCACGTGGGAGACCAGGCTGATGTTCTTGGCTTCTGGTTTCAGCTGGGCCCGGTGTTGACTGTTCCTGGACATTTGTGGAATGAATCAGCAGATGGAAGATCTCTCTTCTCTATTGGCCCACTTTTCAAACCATAGTCTGGCATTATTCAGCAGCTGAACTTATTACATGCACACACTGCTATATAAAGTGTGATCTAAGCTTTCCTATAACATTTTTTTTCTTAATCTCTTTTTTTCTTAATCTCTTAATGAACATTTTACTGTATTTATAGATCTGGAATTTAGAAATGTCAGAGATAAACTAATTATCTGCCCTTTTTAAACACTGGCATCACAGTTCCCGTTCTTTCAATAGTGAAAATGGGAGTGGGTGTTAGAGTGTAGTAGGTTAAGCCACTACTTGTGATTTTTGCTGTGCCTGAGTGTTAAGTCCTTGTGCTCTGAATATAGCTTCCTGCTAGTGTATCCTGGGAGGCAGGTGATAGCTCAGGTGCTTGGGTCCCTGCAAGCCTTGTGGGAGATTTGTGTTAAGTTCCTGACTTCGGCCTGGTCCAGCTCCAGCTGTGGTCGTTTGGGGAGTAAACCAGTAGATAGAAGATCCATCTCTTTATCCCCTTTTCTGTCTCCCTCCCTCTATGCCCTTCCATGTAGATGAAAATAAAGAATATATTTTTAAAGATACAGTGTTATCTTATTTATCAGCTGTCTAAACTGCCACATAGCATAATTTCTAATGTGCCTTTTTTATTTTTGCTTTTTGAAGACAACTTTGTATTTGATAATACTTCCCCACCCTCACTTTATTGCCAAAGAAAACATATCCCATCTTGAAATAAGTAGGAATAGTCAACTTACTTTTTAATTTATTCATTATCCTCTGAGCCTGAAAGCTTGGGTAGGTGGATTAATCAGGGACACATTATATAGTGTACTTTCCCTCTGAAGAGTTCTCTCTGTATTTGTGTGTTTGGACTTGTACAGGATGTTAATCTGCTTATGATAAACTGTTTTAGCTTATCCGTGTGTACCAACACAGTGGCCTGTTGTTTTACCTGTATTCTCTCAGGGTAATGCTGAACAGCCTGTGCAAAGCAGCAAGATCGGACTGGGAAGGAGAGAGTATCAAAGTTTACAACATCGCCACCATTCTCAGCGCTCCAAGTGCCGTCCACCCAAGGGCATGTATCTAACCCAGGAAGATGTGGTGGCCGTGTCCTGTAGTCCCAATGCAGCCAACACCATCCTGAGGCAGCTGGACATGGAGTTGATTTCTCTGAAACGTCAGGTATTCTATAACAACAGTGTTCGTAATAGTTCTGTCCATTTTGCTTTTCCACTTTTTACCCCTAGTTCTTGTGGAATTTCTCAGCCACCTTTTATTGTTTTATTTTTTAATGTTTATCTTGTTTCTTATTTATGGGATGCCTGTTGTAAATTTGAATTCCAGTGTAGCTGCCTGTTAGCTCAGCAATAGAGAGTAAATTATGTAGGCTCTATAGGCTTAAATTTTCTTCTTTTTTTTTCTCCTCTTTCTTTCTTAGACTTACTTGTTTGCAAGTCAGAGTTACAGAGAAAGAGGAAAAGACAGATTTTTCAGTCTGCTATAGTTCAGGGCTGGCACAGATGGAAGCTGTGGAAGCCAGAAACTAGGAGCTTCTTCCCAATCTCCCACATGGGTGCAGGGGCCTAAGAACTTGAGCCATCCTCTGCTGCTTTCCCATATGCATTAGCCGGGAGTTGGATCACAATTGGAGCAACAAGTACTCAAACCAGCACCCATGTGGGATGTCAGCTCTGAAAGCAACAGTTTAGCCCAGTATACCACAAACCCAGCCACTAGGCTTCAATTTTCTATCTATAATGAAGAAAATAATTTTAAAAGAGCTTTTGTAGTGGGTTGTTGGGAATTGATTTCTTAGTAGTGTTTGTCACATTTTGAATACATAGTGATTAGGGACTGCTGTCTTCAGCAACATCATCAGCAGTAATAATGGCAATGATATTTTATAAGTATTGTCACCAGAATCAATTAGTGATTCAGTCAGGACCTAGAGCCAGTGAACCTGTAGGTTCTGAATTTGGGTATCTCTTCTCCTTGTATAACCTTTGGGCAACTGTTTCACTTTTCATCCCATTTCTTCATGTGAAAATGAGGATAATAATATAGTTGTTGGGAGGAATTAAACTAGATAACATGTAAGTGCTTTAAACAGTGCCTGATGTGGTAACCGTGTGAGGATGAGTGTTGGGTCTTTGGTCTGTTTTTCTTAGTCTTTTCTTTTTTATTTTTTCTCTCTATGGCTTGGTTTATTTTAGTTTTCATTATTGTTTTTTCTTATTTTTCAAATAAGACAAGTTTTTAACTCTGTATTTTCCTGGTCCACATCAATCAAGTCCTATATTATAATATAGCAACTTCTGGGTCATTTTTTTTCAAGTTGTGTTATTTCTCCAAATCCCCTATTTATACTTCCAGCTACCAACTAGAGCTTCCCCGAAAAGATCTTTGTCCTCTGCTCCTTGTGTACTGAAACATCAAAATCAACTCTCCTATACTCTTCCTGATTATCCCTCCCGCAATGACGTGTAAACTCAAATGGTAGCTGAGTTAAATTAATTTAGTAGCTGAAATTTCCTAACACTTTTGCTTATGTCATAATCACCTTTTGTCTGACAGAAATTATCTTGTTGATTCTTTTTGTCTATTTCTATTTAGCCCCATGTCGTATACAATTGCCATGTTATTTTTTAAAATGCTGGTCTGGTCAAGGTCATGCATTTTAAAGCTCTTTGTTAGTTTTTGCTTGCCTTCAGCAAGGTACAGTAGAGGTAGATAAGGATTTATATGAAGATCATGTTGTGATATTTGACATTCTGAGATCTAACATTGTGGCATAGAGGAAAAGCCTCCATCTGCAATGCTGGCCTCCCTTCTGGGTGTGTTCAGAAGTTTGGGGGGAAATATGTATTATGAAAAACTATAGATTTCCATTTTTTTAAACAAAAAAATTTACCTTTAATGCCAATTTTCCACAAACTCGTTGAACTTTTCCTATATGAATGAACTCTTGAAGAACCGACATTATAAGAGGCAAGGGAAAGAAAATTCAAGAAACCAGTTGATTATATTAAACAACTTAGAAATCAGGGAGGCAAGAACCCAGGGGGAAGTATTAGTCCAGGTAAAGTACTGATGAATAATCTTACCATCAAGTTTTCAGTGACAGGGCTGGGACAGAAATTAGCTTGGGAGGTGGAGGAATCCACCATGGGGGGAGGGTTGTGGGAGAAGCGGGGGAAATCCAAGCACCTATAAAACTGTATCACATAATACAATGTTATTAACAATAAAAAAAAAAGAAATTAGCTTGGGAAGGGAGTAAGTGGTGTTGAAGAAACAAAGGAGGCCTGGTACAGTAGCCTAGTGGCTAAAGTCTTTGCCTTGCACACACTGGGTTCCCATTTGGGCACTGGTTCTCATCCTGGCAGCCCTGCTTCCCGTCCAGCTCCCTGCTTGTGGCTTGGGAAAACAGTCAAGGACGGTCCAGAGCCTTGGGACCCTGCACCCATGTGGGAGACCCGAAAGAGGTTCTGAGCTTCTGGCTCAGATCGGCTCAGCTCCAGCTGTTGCAGTCACTTGGGGAGTGAATCATTGGACAGAGATCTTCCTCTCTGTTTCTCCTCTCTGTATATCTGACTTTCCAATAAAAATAAAATAAATCTTTTTTTTTAAAAGGAAGCAGAGAAAAGTAATGTATATAGGTTTATTTCAGGATGATTTCTAGGGAAGAAAAGAGAACTAGAAGGATGATGTAAACAAATAACTAGAATAAAAAATTGCACATGATTTAGAGAATTTTACTCCTACATTACACTGTTGCAAAGTTCTTATACTTTTACATAAGGTGGTAATATTACTTCTAAGTTTATAATGGTAAGCTGCAAATATGACCATGATATGCCTCTTATAATTCCTCAGTGTTTTCCTAATTCAGAATGAATTTTAAAACATTATTTAAAAGATTTACTTACTTAGGTGTATCAGGCTGACCCTCCACCTGCAGCACCAGCATGTCATATGGCCACTGGTTTGAGTGCTGGTGGCTCCACTTCTGGTCCACCTCTCTTCTAATGGCCTGAGGAGGCTCCTGGCTTCAGACTGGCCCAGCTCCAGCCCTTGTGGCCATTTGGAAAGTAAAACAATCTCTCTCCTTCTCACTCTGCAACTGAGCCTTTCAAATAAAAATAAACTTTTTAAAAAAGTATTTATTTATTTTTTTAAAATCAGCGCTAAAAATGAGAAGGAATAGACAGGGAGATGAGGAGAGGAGAATTTTCTGTTAGCCGGGTCACTCCTCATATGGCTGCAACAGTGAGGGATGGGCCAGGCCAAAGCCAGTAGCTTCTGGATCTCTCACATGAGTGGCAAGGCCCCAAACACTTAGACCATCTTCTGTTGCTTTTCACAGATTGCTGGATGGGAAATGGAGCAGCCAGCACATGAACTGGCACCCAGAAGGGATGCCAGTCTTGCAGATGTTGGGTTTTCTTGCTCTGCCCAGCTCTCAGATTTATTTATTTTATTGGAAAGGCAGATTTACAAAGAGAAGGAGAGACCGAGAGAAAGATCTTCCGTCCAATGGTCCACTCCCTGTATGGCTGTAATGGCCAAAACTGTGCCGATCCAGGAGCTTCTTCAGGTCTCCAAAGCAGGTGCAGGATCCCAAGGCTTTGAGCCATCTTCCACTGCTTTCCCAGGCCATAATCGGGGAGCTAGATGGAAAGTGGAGTAGCCAGGACATGAGCCAGTGCTCTTATGTGATCCCAGAACTTGGAAGTGGAGACTTACCTGATTGAGGCATCACACCAACCCCCAGATTTTTTCTTAAACTGTTTGTGCGTACCACCATACCATTTCATTAGTCTCATTTTGTTAATGAAAGTGTTCTTAAGTATTCAGTATTTCTGGCCTGACTTACTAACCATCTTCTTCACCCCATTCTGTTCTCCACATCGTAGTATTGGAAGTATCTTTCAAAAAAAGTAGATATGGTCATGTTGTTCCTTTGCTTTAAAAAATTTCAAATTGGGGCCAGCATTGTGGCACAGTGAGTTAAGTCTCTGCTTGTGATTCTGATTTGAGTCCCAGCTACTGTGCTTCCAAAGCAACGTCCTTGTAATGCACCCAGTAAGGCAGCACCTTCGGTCCCTGCCCCCCATGTGAGATGCCCAAGAGAATTCTTGGTTCTTATCTTCAGCCTGACCCATACCTGGCTTTTGTAGCTACTTGTGGAGTGAACTAGATGATGGAAGATTGTCTCTAGAGATTGCTTAGATAGATAGATAAATAGATAGATAGATAGATACATACATACATACATGCATGCATACATAGAGAGATTTAAAATTTTTTTTATTTTTCTATATTTTTATTTGAAAGGCAGTTTTATAGAGATGAGAGACAGGAAGAGCTTCCACCCTCTGATTCACTCCCCATATGGCTGCAGTGGTGGGAGCTAAGCCAATCTGAAGCTAGGAGCTTCTCCTGGTTCCCCAATGTGAGTGCAGAGTCCCAAAGACATGCACCATCCTTCACTCTTTTGCAGGTCATAAGCCATGAGCTGAGTTGGGAGTGGACCAGCTGGAACATAATAAGCCAGTGTCCATATGGGATGACAATGCTACAGGTGGCGGATTAGCCTGATATGCCATAGCTCAAGCCTCTTTAAAAAGTCTGTGAAGTTTTCAGTTTGTAGGCAAAACTCAAATTCCTTGGTCTGATTCCAGTTTAACTTCTTGTCACAACATAATGTATTCTTGTCTTCCTGAATGTTCTACTGGAATACCTTACCTAGCCCTAGGCTCTGAGCCTTGGTCTGTAAATCCTTAAACTACATACCAGCGTGTTCATTCTTTGAGTCTCAGTCTTTTTCTTGCCAAGTTTATTAGCTGTTTTAGGATTTATCAAACTTGTTAATTTCTCCATTTCTGTATGTCTTTCTAACATGGCCACCTTACTGCCTCTGAACCACCCTGGATTTCTGTGTTTTTAAGATTTTGGTAAAGAGAAAAATTTTTAATTCATGTATTAGGTTTTTTATTTATCCAGAAAGGGAAAAGAACATACTTGGAAAAATGTAAACAAATAATCCTGCCCTGTATATTCCAGACGGAGAGTGACAGTATTACTAGTAGTTTAAAAATTAGCATGATTTAAGTTGGCATACTGTGGTCTGAACCTCCTGTTTTTTCTTTGTGATTTTAGAAAAGTTCCTTAACATCTCTTATCTTGTGTTCCTCATCTATAAAATGGTTATAATAATTTTAAAAAAAAAAGTTCTGCAGTAACTTTAAGCAAATAGGAATTTGTTCTAATGCAGTTAATACACTAGGAGCAATCAGGAATAAATTACATCCAGCTGAACCGTGTGAACACTTGTGTGTGTGCACACACACCACACCACACTACCCCCTACCTCAGGCATACACACCTACATCAGTGCTTTGCGTGTTAGGAGCCACACACATGTGGTGATAAAACTTTTCATCTGTCTTCAAATAACCTTCCTCCTGGCACTTTATAATAACTCACAAGCTGCAACAATTTTGATGTCTTCTTCCACAAGCAACCTCAGGTGTTTCGTAAGGTAAATTATCACCTTTTTATAGCATCTATGGATTTATTAACCATTTAGAATATGTGAAATTGTGCTCCCATACATACTTATTTTAGTTTCTTGTTTTTTTCTTACATATTTACTGGTGAAAGTGTATGAATGTTATGTCTCATCTTTTGCCCCGTAAGACCTGGGGTTTTTATTTGAGTCTTCACATGAAACGGTTACTGTTGTGAACACATATATTGTGTTAAAGCAGAACTGATTGTCCTTTCTGCACTGAGTGGCTGTGCAAAGCATACTTGAAAATAAAGCACTAAGAATGATATTTTTGGCATAATAAATATATAAGAAATATTAACTACCATCATCACCATGTTAATAGATAAGTTATTATTTAGTTTAAACATATAGTAATGAGAACAGTTAATGAAATTTAATCTGTTGATGTAAATGTTGTCTTTGGATATAAGAAACACTATTCAAAGATATCCAGACTGTGGTTTATTACGTTCACAGAGTCTCAATGTCCATGAGTTTAGTAAGTGTATATAATGCCGGCTAATATGTGTAATGGTTGAGTGAGTGGTGTATCACATCCTGGGATAAGTATATTTAGTCTCCTGAAATAAAATTTAAAAGAGTTTTAGAATATATCTTTCTCATTTGTTGAGTCCAGAATGATTTACCTAAGTCCCTCATCTGATTCACTCTTTGGATTATTTTCTTGAAGGTTCAGAATGCTAAGCAAGTAAACAGTGCACTTAAACAGAAAATGGAAGGTGGAATTGAAGAATTCAAACCTCCTGAGGTATGTTGTTGAAGAGTACATGGGATTAAGTGCAGAATAAAAAAACTTTGTTCATTAGGTTGTACAGTGTTCAGCTACTCTTTTGATCAAGTATGTTACTAGTTGTGGTATAATTTGTTGCATCTCTATTTTTTTTTCTTTGTTTAGATCAGGGGTGGGGAACAGCTGGCTTGTGGGCCAGATAAGGCCCGCAAAATCGTTTGGTGTGGCCCTGCCAAGGCAACTGCAGGTGGGACTCAAATTTTAATAAATCTATAGCAAGGTAATTTCTAAGTTGATGATTCTGGGTGACTTCAAATGATATTAAAAATATCCAAATGGCCCTTGGCAGAAAAAAGGTTCCCCTCCCCTGATTTAGATAATTAATCTTTTGAGGCTTGACTAATTTTGTACATAAGTAAAACTTTCTTGTCTTGAGTCACCCCTGTCAAAGTGGATAGGGAGATACTTGTAGGAGTAGGCACGACGTGTGACAGTGGAGGGTCACCAGTGAGTGCCCAGTGTACTCCAGGGGCTGCAGTGGCTTGCCCTAGCTCTCTGTGCTTTTGTCAATTGGAAAAAATATCAAGAAACAACACAGGAAAAGGATTATATTCCAGAATTTTTGTTTTTAGTATGCCATCTTTTGGCTCGGGTTCCCAACTAGGGTTTTTAGGATATAAACTTAAATTCATATGTTTTTATCTATCAAAAACTAAAAACAAGCTATTGATAAATCATTTTCTCAAACCTAACTTATATTTCAGCTGAAACTTAAATAGACTTTGATATTTGCGATGTAACTGCAAGCAGACTTAAGTGCTGAAGAATTCCAAGCAAGAAGCTTTTTTTAAGATTCTTGTGTTCTTATTCCTACCCTGGGTTTGTATGTGATAATAAAATTGTCTCATTAGGTCCTAATAGGACTTCCCTCCCCCACTTACAGGTTGACTAAAATGTCTACAGAGGAGCTGGGTGGGAGGCAAGAGAATAAAACTACAGAAATCTCACTGTTTCTTCTTAATCATTAGACTGCTTCAGAAGGGAAAATTTATTATAATGAAAGTTATTTTAATATTTTTGAAAGGTGTATTTATTTTTTACTGGAAAGACAGATTTACAGAGAAAAGGCAAGACAGAGAAATATCTTCCATGCACTGGTTCACTCCTCAATGGCTGCAAAGGCCAGAGCCGAACTGATGCAAAGCCAGGAGCCAGGAACCTCCTCTGGGTCTCCCATGTGAGTTCAGGGGCCCAAGGACTTGGGCCATCCTCTGCAGCCTTTGCAGGCCACAAGCAGGGAATTGGATGGGAAGTGGAGCAGCCAGGACATGAACCAGCACCCTTAGGGGATGCCACCGCTTGCACGTGAAGGATTAGCCTATCAAGCTATGGTGCCACTGAACTGATAAACATTCAAGTACATGTAAGGGCAGTGTAATAATACAAAAGGTGAGCCTATTTTACTATTGCAACAAATTCAACATTGTACTTAAGCTATTTAGATTTTTTATGCATTAAAATGTGTAGGAGAAAAAATGCAAATTGCCTGTAATTTATAGTTCAAAAATAAATTTAAAAATTCACAGCAGATATTAAAAATATAGGAGATAGGAAGAAGTTTAGACTAGTAAGAGAATTTTGACAAAATATAAAATCTTCTAGGAAAATTGTCTTATCAAAATTCTATGCGAAAGAAAGCCTAAATAAAATGAAGAATAATTAAAATTTTTCTCTCACATGAAGACTCCAGATCCAGGCAATTTGACAGAAAAAGGCTACAGGATTCTTCAAGGAACAGAAAACTCAAAATTTCCATAAAATTATAGAATAATTCCTCATTAATATTATATAAAGGAAGATGAGATAGGATGTTAGTGTTTTGTAACCTCTTAAATACCAGCTCATGTGATCTGTCCATAAACCTGTACAAGTGGAGGAAGTGGATGCTGTTATTTCACATGAGGAAACTAGAGTCCAAAGAGCTTAACTCATTTCAAGAAATAATAGAACTCTGGCTGGAAAACACCCCCACACTTTTTTTTTTTCCAAAATTGATTTATTTATTTGAAAGGCAAAGTGACAGAAAGAGATCTCCTTTCGCTGACTCACTCCCCAGATGGGCTGTTAATAGCCATGGATGAGCCAAGCTGAAACCAGAAGCTTCTTCCTGATCTCCCAAACATGGGTGTAAGGCCCACACACTTGGGCCATTTTCCCCTGCTTTTCTGGGAACCTTAGCGGGGCTGGAGCAGCCAGGTCTCAAACCTGCTACCCCACGAAAGTGAACGCCAAACCTTTCTTTTGAAATTTATTTATTTGAAAAGCAGAGTTAGGGAGAGAGAGTCTTCTGTCTGCTGGCTCATTCCCCAGATGTCCACAATGGCTAAGCTAGAAACAGAAGTTTCACCCATGTCTCCCTCGTGGGTGCAGGGGCCCAGGTACTTGGGTTATCTTCTGCTTTCTTAGAAGCATTAAGAAGGAGCTGTATTGAAAGCAAAGAAGCTGGGATACAGAGTGGCACCATAATGCCAGCCCCAAACCACCCCAAATCTTAACACTAATGTCTGTATATTGAAATTCCAGTGTTATTTTAGGATGATTAATTAAACTCACATGATTTGAAGAATTTGTATGTTTTTTTATCATCTAGAAGATTCCCCAGGGTGTATTTTTCTTACTATTCCTAGTGCTTTCAGGAGTAGAGCAGTTTTAATAGAGTGCATCACAAAATTAGAACAGAGTTTTGAAGATTTATTTATTTTTATTGCAAAGTAAGATATATAGTGATGAGGGGAGACAGAGAGAAAAATCTTCCATCTGATGATTCACTCCCCAAGTGAGCACAATGGCCAGTGCTGTGCCAATCTGAAGCCAGGAGCCAGGAACTTCCTCCAGGTCTCCCATGCGGGTGAGTGCAGGATCCCAAGGCTTTGGGCCATCCTAGACTGCTTTCCCAGGCCACAAGCAGAGAGCTGAGAGCTGGATGGGAAGAGGAGCTGCCGGGATTAGAACCGGCGCCCATATGGGATCCCGGTGTGTTCCAGGCGAGGACTTTAGCCACTAGGTCACCAAGCCGGGCCCAAAAAATCATCTTGCTACCTTTAAGTTAGATTATACCTAAACAAAAAATAATAATCATCTTTGGAATAGTTTGAATAGACCTATATGAGGTAATTGCACTGGAAATCAATAGTTGCTGAAGAGCTTTATATATCATTTGGCTGTACTTGTTATTTTTTGTTTAGGGAATAATTTGGTGAAGAAAGTCCATTCACTTTCCAGTATTTATTACCCATTTCATGTCAGGTGCTATTTTAGATACTGGTGGAGTGCTACGGGGAGGGAGAAAGCATAAAGATGAAGTTTGTGAAGAGTCTAGGTGTTGTAAGAAAAGTTTAATGATAGATTTGTGTGCAGAGTATTACAAAGAAACAGATGGGCGTTGTTTATTTTAGTTAGGACCACCAGGGAAGACCTCTTGGAGGGTGGGCTGCTACATCTGAGGTTTGAGGGATCAGTGGGACTTTTGCAAATAGTGAAGAAAAAAAAAAAAGCATGGCAGGACATCACAGATGGAGGGAATAAGAGCAGTGGTTTACTGTTGGGCTGCACATTCAAAAAAGAAGTCCCTTGGGGACAGTTAAAAGCACTTCTAAAATACAGTCAGCAAGGATTTCCTGAGCAGGAATTAGGGGCGGTTTGAAGTCATCTTTTCTCAAGGACATACGGTCTACTTAGAAAGGCAAAGGGATGAGCATAATGCATGAATGCTGATGAGACTGAGCAGGGACAGGAATAGTGGGCAGGGACCAATGGCAAGAAGTAACGTGGAAGCTCAAAGAAGTCTGCCTTCCACATAGGAAGGATGTAGTGGAAACGTCTGATTGTAGAAATGTGCTGGTAGCCTGAAGCAGGTTAAATTAAAGCTAGGGAAACTAAGTACTAACATACTCAGTGTGTGGACGATGAACGGCCAAGGGCTGTGGGCAGGGTTGGGTAGTAGCTGTGGAAGTGGTACCAGGTGATAAATCCACAGAAATTTGCATAATAGTAAATAGTGTGTTTCCTTGAAAATAGATGAGAACACTGGGGATGGTTGTGGTGCTTTGTTACGCTTTTTTTATTTTGGAAGAAAGAGTGCCTTTTTTTTCCTTTAAAAAAATAAAGGTTTTTATTGGAAAGACAGATTTATACAGACAGAAAAGGAGAGACAGAGAAAAAGATCTTCCATCTACTGGCTCATTCCTAATGTGGCCACAATGGCCAAATCCAAACCACTCCAGAGCCAGGAACCAGGAGCCTCTTCCACGTTGCCCCCTCAGGTACAGGGGCCCAAAGACTTGGGTCATCCTGCTCTGCTTTCCCAGGCCATAAGCAAGGAGCTGGATGGGAGGTGGAGCAGCTGGGACACAAACTGGCACCCATATGGGATGCCAGCATTTGCAGGTGGAGGATTAGCCTATTGAGCCATTGGGTAGGCCCCAGGAGTGTTTTTGAAGCTGAGAATTTCCCATACATGCATGTTTTCATGTGACGTAGAATGGCATCCTTTTTCATTAAATATATTAGAAGAGATTTCAGCATCAAGTAGAAGTTTTAACCTGGTAAACCTTTTCTGATTTCCAGCTCAGAGGTGGCATGAATTTATTCACCAAAAATTTGGGAGAGATGTGGAGACAGATTAATTTGTCTGGGACAGAGTACAAATAAAATGCCACATTCATTAGCAATGCCAAGCAAACTCTTATTCTCTTAATATTTATTTATTTATTTTTACAGAGAGAGGAGAGTCAAAGAGAGCTTCCATCTGTGATTCACTCTCCAGATGGCCATAACAGAGCAGAACCAACCCAAAGCCAGGAGCCAGGAGCTGCCTCTTGGTCTCCCACAAGGGTGCAGGGTCTCAAGGCTTTGGGCTGTCCTCACTGCTTTCCCAGGCCACAAGCAGGGAGCTGGATGGGAAGTGGAGCAGCCAGGATGGGATCCTGTGCCCATATGATACGCTGGTGCTACAGAGC